ACATCCGCGGCGTACGCACGCGTCGCGGGGGAGGCGATGAGTAGGCTGAAACAATAGCGACGGCTACCAATCCCCCGGAACGTAATCGCTGACCTCAACGCCTCTGTTACGCGGAAGAAAACGCGCTTCTCTTCCTTCTCCCCCCCCCCTTCTCTCTCTCTCTCTCTCTCTCTCTCATTGAGCTGCCTTTTTCTCCCGCACGTGAGAGCGTGCAATTAAAAAGTTAACGAGCGAACAGTCCATTGAGGGAGTCGCGTCGCGCGATCGCCGGGAAGAATAGACGCGAGAGAGAGAGAGAGAGCCAGTGGCAGATGTCGACTCGCCGTGACGACGACGCGCGGGAGACCGTTGGAGACGCTATTTTGAAACGTCGCCTGCGTGTCCACTTGACCGTTTCGCGGCGCGACAGGTGTATTAACGGCTGAGAGACAGTCGGCAGCGGGACTCGCTGGACCGGACGCGACTTTGACACTGCGGAGCCGCGTCGGTAGCGCGACTCTCGCTGAGATGGAGCGCTGTTGAGTCACTCCGAGAGAAGAGAGAGAGAGAGAGAGAGAGAGAGAGAGAGAGAGAGAGAGAGAGAGAGAGAGGAGAGAGGAGGAAGCGCGGAGGACTTTAGGCCGCGTCGTCGCATCGTGACGGGCGATTTCGAGAGGCGAGATTAGCCTCCTCCTCGCTCTCGCGAGCAACAGCAAAGTCCTCGCGAGCCGTGTCGGGAGCGCTCGGTTGGATTTATCGCGTCGGTATCGGTCGTGTCGCGGTAGACGCGGTAGACTTCTCTCTCCTGTTTCGCACGAGAGAGGAGGGAACGAACGGTGCGATTCCGCTATTAATGATTAATTTCATTACACGCTCGCGAGCGATACGCGACCCGTTCTCCGCGAACGCCCGTTGCTCCGCGTCGTTCAACGTGAACATCTGCATCACCATGAATACCGGCGCCGCCGCTGCAGCGTTAGATCCAATTACTGAACCTTGATATTGGAGCGCGACCAATTTCCGTATCGCCTTCCGCACCTGCGCGCCGTTGTCGGGGGCGACGCAAGAAATCGAGCGGTCGATCGGCCGCGAGAACGAATTCCTCCGCCTCTTCGTCCGGCCGCGCGTAGTCCAACGTGACGCGGTTCCGACTGGATGATCTTCCGAGGTTACAACCGCGGCGGATTCCTTGGGTCAGGGATTCGAGCTCCGGCGAGAGAGAAGGAGGAGGACGAGGAGGACAAGGAGGAGGAGGAGGAGGAGGAGGAGGAGCGGAGCCGTTATTTTTCGAGGGTTCCGCGTCTTTTCCCAGGTCACGGTCGAACGCAAGCTCCGCCGCGACGATGTTCCGCGACGAGTCTCCTCCTCTTCCTCCTCGTCATATGACACGGACGACTGTTTATGCCGTCTGCCATCGACAAAGTGACTGTCGGCGAAGGCCTCGTACGCGGCCCGTTATAATTAGCCCGGCGAAACTAAAGAGAGACCGACCGATGGTGGTTAAGGAAATAACTTACGAGCCGCCGTGATGGACGTGAGTCACCACGGACGCGTATTTGAACAACGTCGCGCCGTCGATTCGCGCGCCTCGCGATATATGAATGTGAACGGGCCTCAGCGTATATTAGCGGGGTTACGGTAAGGATGATGCGCGAGCCGCGAGAAAGCAAGGAGGAGAGGCAGTCGTGAGGGAGGAGGAGGCGCGCACAATAAATATCGCGCGAGTTGCCGTCGCCGTCTCCGTCGCCGCCGCCGCCGCCGCAACGTGCATTTATATCGTTACACGAACATTTCTATGTTCACCAATTTAAATTCTCGCCTGACGCCTCCGGGCCCGCCGGCCGTATCTGATAAGCCTACGCGCATAACTCGCGAAGGGAGAGGGCGGCGACCCCCTCGCCGTTCCTGCGCCCCCTTGGCGTGAGAGACGCAGTGACGCGCGCGAATAATTTAATAACACACGCTGCCTCGTTTTCTCTCTCTCTCTCTCTCTCTCTCTCTCTCTCTCTCTCTCTCTCTCTCTCTCTCTCTCTCTCTTTCTCCCTATCTCTTTCTCTGTCTCTCTGCCTCGCTCCCTCGCGAATAACACGGCGCGAGTATGTGGGGGCCTAACATCGTGTTTGTGGAAGGTATAATTGATGCAGGACCAGCCGGAGATCGCGTTTGCCCTTAAGAGTTTGGAACTGGGTGGAGAAAATATAGGTTGTCTTCGTTACCCGGCCTTTGGTGCGCGCCCGGTCGCCCGCGGTGCAACACGAGGATGATATATTCGCTGCAACTGCAGCTGCGCTGCGCCGGTCGAACGGCCATGTGCTGCGCTGCGCCGCGCCGTGCCGTGCCGTGCCGTGCCGTGCCGTGCCGCGCCGCGCCGCGCCGTGCTGAGCCGCGCTGCACGCGTTGTTTCGTGGGATTTCGAAACTACCCGCTGTATTCCGCCTCGCGAAAACAATGACGGGTGCACTCCCCTTGTCATCGTCGAGTCTTAGACGGGTGAGTGGGTGGGCGCGTTTTTTGACGCATGCCACGCGGACAGACGCGACGGAGTTCATAAGTCATCTGAGAGAGAGAGGGAGAGAGAGAGAGGGAGAGACAGAGAGAGAGAGAGAGAGAGAGAGAGAAGGAGAAAGAGAAACGAGCTCTCCCTCTTTCTCTTCTCTTTATATTTTCTTCTTCAAGGCACAAAGCTGGCAAACGCGCATTAAATTATTTATTTTTGCGCTGCTGGAGCAGTGAATGAAATTTCGCCGATCTCGACGTTGAGTCGACTAACCCCTCAACTCCGGGCTTGCCTCTGTGACGAGAAAGAATTTTTTCAAAAAAATTTGATCTTCTACATTTTTGTACGTCAGTTGAAGAATTACACTCGGATTCTGCGAAATTTTTGTCGATGGGCGTGGATGACAATTTCGGTCCGGGATTTCGGAGCGAAAAGTGGGAACTCGAGAACAAGCCGAATTCCTGGATTACCGCGGATTATTCCGCATTTCCTCGATTAGTTTCGGCCAACTGCCGGGGGCACGCGTGTTTCCCGGATAGCTTGCAGGAATGTGTGATATCTCAGCGTGTCGGGCGAAGCGCACGGTGCATTGCTGCGGCTCTCGCTGCGGGGATATCGGGGGAACGATTTCTTGCACGTCGTGCGAACGACTTAACTAATTAGCGTTTTACGCGAGGCGACCGTGAAGGAGGCGGCTTCTCTCGCGCGTGGCCGACTCTCGTACCGTTAGAAGCGCGAACGCGCCGGGAATCCGAAACAGTACGGGGAGCCTATTTACCGTAATCAATGACTGCGCGTTTCATCGTCGGCGATTGTTAAGGCCGCGAGACAGAGAGAGAGAGAGAGAGAGAGAGAGAGAGAGAGAGAGAGAGAGAGAGAGAGAGAGAGAGAGAGCCGCATTGTTAACGCCGAGAGCCTCGCGGGAAACTCGCGTTTAACAACACGGATTCCCGGCGTCCACCTCGACGCTCGGTCGCGCGATGTGCGCGCGAACAAGCCGCAGATTAGATTAGCCACGTTTCTTCTTCTTCATCTTCTTCCTCGTCCGACTTGAAACCGTCGAACAAAAGAGGAAAAAGAAGAAGAAGAAGAAGAAGAAGAAGAGGAGGAGGAAAGTCAGAGCCGGCGACTTTATTATTTCACCTCTCACGCCTGCCTCTCGCTGAGTGTCGTCCGGCCGGCGAACAGAAAGAAAGGAAACGTGAAAGAACAGGAAATCCGTTCTTCCGCGCACCGCGACGACGTAGAGAGCGGCTCTAGTAACCCCCGCAGCAACCCCCTCCGGGTGAGCCGGCTACAATTCGACGGCAATTCTTGGCGGGGAGGCCGGAGAACGGGAGAAAGAGCTGAATGCCCAGCGGCGCATGAATGCGCGCGGCCTCGATCGCGCGTCGATCCCGATCCCCTCTGTCGGCGGCGAAGAGCCGGCCGCGAGAACGAGAGAGAGAGAGAGACCGGTCTGCCGTTGCGTGCGCGACTTGCATTACGCCGCTGAATATTTCATTCATAAGCGAGGCCCGAGCAATTACCGTATTCCACGAACGTGTGGAGGCACGGAGCGACGCGCCCGCGATCGCCGTTGCAGCTGCAATTACGCGAGGCGCTGCACTCAATGAAACCCGCACCCGTCGTTCTGTCGCCCCTCTGCCCTCCCCTTCCCCCTCTCGCTCTTACTTCTTTTCTTCCCTCCTTTTCTCTCCTGTTGCGCTCTCTCACCTTCGTCCTTCCGCTCTTCGCGCTCTTCCTCCTCTACGTTCTCACCTCCTTCTTCCTCTTCTGGCCATCCTCTTCCTTACGAGGCTAAGACGGATTGACTTTTTGCGCGCCGCCGGCGGCGGAAATGGCGGCCCGTCTGCTTACGCGAGACGAATTCGCGGAATTCCGCGGAGGAGCCAGCGGCAGCTGCCATCACACGAGAGAGGACGTCGACGACGACGACGGGAGTTCGCGACGGTCGGGGCCAGCGGCATCGGCGCGTGCGAGCTTCTTGCATCGCGCGGGGATGCACCGGCGATGAGCAGAAGTAGCGATTCGCGCTGGGAGAGTTTAGATGCCGCGGATTCCGGCGGGATCTCGCCATCGCCGTCAGTTCATCGTTTGCTAGTGTATATATAATAATAATAATAATAATAATAATAAATCGCCGTAATAGAGAGCATTCGAGTGCATTACCGATGTGGGAAAAACTTGAGGTATTCTGGGCGGGCGAGGTGTAAAAGAAAGAGACTCCGGCTAAAACCGTTGCGTTACAAACACGATATGGCATAAAGTTGGCTTTAAGCTGTCGTCCATTTTATTGCTTATACCTTCGCGTTAATTGTGATAATAATATCCGCGTCATCGTCGTTTTCGTTGACGTCCTCGCGAATGGACGCTAAAATTGGCGCGCGATTAAAGCAAGATCAAAGCAGAGTTCGCTCGAGCGCTATCGAGAGCCCCTCCCCCCCCTCCTCACCCCGCCTTATCCGTTTAAACGGATTCAGATAATAATAAATAACACGCCGGTCCCGTATTTCTGTTGCAGAACTTCCAGGAGAATCGCATTGACGGTGCCGCGCTGCCGCTGCTCTCGGAGGATCACCTAACGGGTCCGATGGGCATGAAGCTCGGTCCGGCGTTGAAGCTGCGTGCCATGCTCGCCCGAAAGCTCGGAGCTTGCACGGTGTGCTTGCACTGCGCGCATTGCCACCAAACGCCGTTACCGGCGCTAAGCGCCGCCGCCGCCGCTGCCGCTGCCGCTGCCGTGACGCAGCAGCAGCCGCAACAACCGCAGCAGCAGCAACAGCAGCAACAGCAGCAGCAGCAGCAGCAGCAACAGCAGCAGCAGCAGCAGCAGCAGCAGCAGCAACAGCAGACGTCGGGCCGGCGACCGAGCAGCACCGGGAACTGACAAACAATGGCGGAGACTCCCCCGGTGGGGCCCGAGACTGCGGCGGCCGCTGTCGGTATGACCCTGTCGCCGTCTCCGGACCCGAACCGTGCCCTCAGGATAGAGCGGCGCGTGCCCCGTCCGGTACGCAAGCCGGAAGTCGTCTTCAAGAAGCCGATCAAGCAGTGACACGCGGTGGACGTGCGAGATGCGCGCGAGATGTCGAAGACGCTTTCGTATTGTTACCCCGGGTGTGTGTGGAGACTCCGCCTGTTGTCAATAGTGTGACCCAAATGTGCCCGGATCGACCCTTAGATAGGAAAAATCTCGGGAGAGAGAGAGAGAGAGAGGGAGAGAGAGAAGAGAGAGAGAAGAGAGAGAGAGAGAGAGAGAGAGAGAGACCGACTCCAGCCCGGCCGCGAGGTCGGGGCGCCGGAGGCGAGGAGAAAGGTAGGAAGATGGACAGATAAGGAGAGAGAGGAAGGGGGAAGAGAAGAGGAGAGGAGAGGAGAGACTTGGAAAAAGTTAGCGCCTAGAGACCGAATGTTCAAGCAAAGGAGAGAGTAGTTTCGAGTACCGGGATTAGATGTAGAGCCTAAGAACAGAGGAGAGCCGCAGAGACCTGACGGAGCGCGCGGGGCTTGGCGAGCTGGAAACACGTTTCAACTTGGTACTTCGCGCACACTTCGCGCTTCTGTTCTTCTTTCGTTTCGTCCCGTCGTCTCCCTTCGCGCATGCCCTTTGTTCTCCGCAGCAGCACGATGGCGAAAACCGGTTTCCCGGAAATTTCCTGGGCAAAATTTCGTGGGAGCGAGCGCGCCGGAATGTTTCGTTTGTCGCCTTGTTAGAGGAGCGTTCAGCACGGGGGGGATTCGCTCTCGCTTGATCACACGACGCAGTCGCGGTGAACGAGCGTTTGAATAATTTTGAATAAGGGGTTGAAAGGGGGAGGGAAGAAAAGAGGGACGGAAATATGAAGCGATTGCGAGTCGAGCTAACCAGTGCCTATTTTCGTACAAGGTCTTCCAGGACGATGTCGTAGTGTATTCGTAGATCAGTCATCTCTCGATCGTCGATCGACCATCTCGTTGAAACCTAACGGCCGAGGTCGTGTCTCTGAGTGGCGTGTTCGGGATAGAGATAGGCGATTCGGAAGGAGAAGGACGCGACAAAGACAAGAGGAGGAAGTACGCGCGCGTACGATACTTGTACATACCGTCGGAGCGAGTGCGATTACGAGAATGCGAGTGTGCGGCAAAAAAGAGGAGAAAAAAAGGGAAAAGGGAAACAATCGAGAGAGAGAGAGAGAGGTATCGAAGGGGCTATGGAGGGAGGTATGTGGTATGGAACGAGGAGAGACGGTCTAATTAGGGAAAATTATGTGCAATAACAATAAATACGACGCGATTTTCGATAACGACGCGGTAACTTTTAACTACATAGGAGATACGTATTTGCTCAAATCGTTGTTTCTTTTATATATTTTAACGAAGTTTTTTATATGGATGAATTATTACGATAAATATATACTAAATTATATTTTTGCTAGCGCTCTACGTGCAACAGAAAAAAAAATAATGAGATCCACGTGCGAGCATATGAACATACACAGGCGTACATACATCTACATAAATATATATATATATATATATACATATACATACATACACGCATACTTACACACAAGTACATATTCACCAATACCGCGCGATACCGCGAATGTGACGACGACAAGTTTCACGCGCGATGGACCCGTCTTAGCTCTTAGGGAATTGTACATTAGGGCCCCCATCCAATTTGCCCCCCTTTAATCCTCAACGCAAGCGTCTATTTATTTAGAAACGTACAGTATACCGTTGCCTTATTGTATTCACGTAACGATTAAGATATGGTAAAACGGTGGCAGGGCGACATCAAAATGTGCGCTTACGCGCACCATGCGTGCGAGAACGAGAGAGAGAGAGAGAGAGAGAGAGAGAGAGAGGGGGAGAGCGAGAGAGAGAGAGAGAGAGAGAGAGAGAGAGAGAGAGAGAGAGAGAGAGAGAGAGAGAGAGAGGAAGAGAGAGACAGATAGAAAGAGAGAGAAAGAGAGAAGAATCAATTCGTAAGACGAGCAGTATTTTTAGATTTACACATTAGCCTGAATTTACTGCAGACTACGTAACGTTAGAATTGTATGTATACGTCATATACATACGAGCAGACACACACACACACATACACACACACACACACACACACACTCGAGGTGGTGGCACGTGCTACCCCGCGCTCCCGAGTTCGCGTTCTATCGCATCTTGTCTCTCACCGGAAAATCGACGCGATGACAGTGAGTAAATTTGCGAATAAACGTCTCGCGGCTGCATCACGAGATTTTTTCGCGTCCAATTCGGCCAACGATAACGATATGAGATGAAGAGGAAGAATGAGAGAGAGAGAGAGAGAGAGAGGGGGGGGACGACTGTTCATCGCGGCTGACTAGGTAAATCTGTTACTACTTCATAGTGCGGAACTACCAAGGACGTAATTGGCCGTAGTGAGTTCGCGCGCGGTGTTACTAGGGTTTTGCGCGGATAGCGCTAATGACACAGCTCCCATTCTTTCTCTTTCTCCCTCCGAGTATGTTTACCACGTGCTTGCAGCGCTTCTAATTAACGGTACGATATCCTCTCAGCTTATACATACGCAGCACGTAACGGAATACGCAAGCATTTTTCCCTCCTTCTTCCCGTTTGTCTTTCCTCCTCTTCTTCCTCGTTCGCTGTTCAAAGAACGCGGCGATCGACGGAGACTTTGACTCGCGTCTTCTCTCGAGCGACGGCGCGGCGGTATATAAAACGCCCTCCGGCGTTTGGTGCGCGATGAACTCGGGCGCGTCGATACTGCAACAGGCGAGTTCAGCGGCTTTTACTTAAAACACACGTTCACTGTACATAACGCTTGAGCATTTATTTATGTCATGCTTTTACACAAGTGTCTTGTAGTATTTTATTTAGTGTCTTAGTCCAGGTTCTCACGCTGTCCAATGCGTATCAATGAGCGTCACGTGGTAAACTCGTCCGACTAGAGAGAGAAAGAGAGACAGAGAGAAGGAGAAGGAGAGAGAGAGAGAGAGAGAGAGAGAGCAGAGAGAGAGAGAGAGAGAGAGAGAGAAGAAAAGGAAAGAGAAAAAGTAGGAAACATGAGAGAAACGGACGAGAGGTAGAGAGAAAGAGAGAAAAAGCATGTTTACGCGACGGTGTAGGATCAGTGACAGATTCTCTCGGCGAAGGATTTATTTAATCGTATAACTGATTAAAGGAGTTAGAGAAAGGTGGCGAAAACCGGCGATAAGGCAATTTCTTTTTGTGATATCTCAAGATTTTCTCCATTCATCCTCCGGTGTCTCCCATTCACATCTCTCCGTGCAACCAACACTCGCCCCCCCCCCCCACAACCTTCAGTTTCGTTAAAATCGACCGACACCCCACTTCACCTGATCTCCCTTCGACTCTTTCTATTTCTCCATTGCGAGTCTGTCGTGTATTATCTTACGATTAACTGTCATATCACATGTATATATATATAGTAGAAATTAATGGTGAAAAGAGGAAAAAAACAGTACATTGTTTCTGTTAAAATAAACCTTGTTGAAAAATAATACGTATGCTCTAGCCCGTGTAATTTTCTTACCGGTCGTTATATCGTAATGTATAAGTCGCGACGTGCATGTAAATCTCGTTACGACCAAAATAACTCGTGCACATACGCGGGATTGTTATCCGAGGAAATTTAGAGGGTGAAATACTTTATTAGTCGTACTTCGTATTGATACATTTATACAAGTGTTGAGGCGATAATAGTATTATTATAAAAACAACAAAAAAGAATACCTCCCTTATTATTAATCTTTCTTCAACCTCATCGTTTGCTAGGACCTCACGATGTTCCCGGGACCTTCGCCTGCAGGTAAGAAAAGTTATCAAAAGCAGTGTTTTAAGATATAAACGCATGATAATATGTATAATCGCATCCAACAAATTCGATAGGCGGCTTCTTGAGAGTCGAGAAAGTAAACAAAAGTAAGGAATCAAAAATTCGATAAAAAGTATACACGCACGTATATCTTGACTGAATTATCGAATATCGTGAATGGGAACCCGCGAGATAATAAACATATTCAATATTCCAGCCAACAACTAATCATTCAACTCGTTATTACACAACAGTTCATTGTCAATTCCAGACGATAAATTTCGTAACGTTATTGTCGGAGCGGCTTAAGATTAAGCCGAAACTGATAAGATACGACGATTGATTGATACCACGCGAAGAAGCGCGACGTAAAAAATAAATTGTTACGCGTCGGCTGAATAAATACGAGTTCTCTGTAAACCTAACAGCACGTCGCGTTCCAGATAACGCAACGTTTGAACGTCAGATATCCGCGCACGTCGATTTGTTTCGTAAAAATTATGACAGGATTTTTCAATAAGCTCCCCACCGCTCTGCTTTCTCCTGTCTCGCGATTCGACGCTTCTTGCGCCTAGCATTTGAGTCGCTTCGTTGTAACAGGATTATGCAGACTAATTTCTTTTTTTTTTTTTTTGTTAAATGCCTTCTTGGCACAATCCTGATTGTGGCTTCGAGTTTTGTTCCTCGCCGATTTTTGCCGAAGAAACACTGACTTGCGATTACCTTGTAATGCGTCGCGAGCACACCGTCTTCGTCCGTAGTGAGAATGTCGATGTCAGCGTAGTGGTCCTTGTTCACCTTGATGATCTTCCCGGTGCACCTTCCGTTCACCAAGTCTCCGGAAATGACGTCGCAGTAGACGCCGCTGTCCAAGCAGGTGAACAGGGATGTCTTGAGATCGAAATTTTCATTGTTGAACGCGACAAAGCCGCGCTCGCCGCGGCAGAAAGCGATTTGATTGCCGCCGTTGTCCCACCAGTGATCGACAGCGGTCCCGTTGACGAAGTTGCGGAACACCACCATGTTGTAGATCTGACGCCAGCGGTGCTCGCAGATCCAGCCGTTGCCGCAGGTGTTGTCGGGGTAGATGATCGGCGACCGTATGTCGCCGCTGGCGTACGACGGTGGGCCCTGATCGAACTTTTGGAAATCGAACGAGCTCATCACACGTGGATTCCCGTAAGTGTGCGCCAGCATAAAGGCGACCGCCATCTGCAACGCGAATGCATGGCAAATGAATGTCACTCGAGACGCGCGTGCCTGCCTCGGCGATCGGCTCTCCGTTGACCGCGCGAGCTATTTCCCAGACGCAATTAATTTTAATCACTTCGCGCGCGCGATTGACGCGCTCGCGCACGCGTGACACATCGATCTCCCATGACGGCTCGGCGTCGCGATTATCTTTCATTCCGTGTCCTCGCAAATAAATCGAGGTTACTTTACATCATTGCATAAAAAATACAGGCGGCGAACGTGCCAATGAGAGACGCGTCACTCAACGTGTTAATTACTCGCGCTCATCGCTTCGTCAACCAGATCGTCTCAGCCTTGTCTCACTCCCCCCGATTCTTGTCCATCCCAAATCCTCATTCCGAAATGCTCCCGCCCCCGCCGAAGAGGTTACGTGCCTTGTATTGCCGCGACGTCTTATAATTAAGGACGTCGGCATTGTTGCGTTGAGTGTCGTGGTTGTCGATAAACACCAGGGCATCTTCCGACTTCATGAGATTCCACTCAACGCCCCAGCTGACGAGCCACTTGAGCATATTGTTCCCTCTAAACGCGTTGCTCAGTTCAGAACCGTGGCGGAACTCCGTGACCGCGGCCAGCGGGGTGTACTCGTATTTGCTGATCGCCTCGTTGCCGTAGTCGATCACCTCTTGAAAAATGTAAGGTCGCGAGTTCGCGCGGAAACCGTGTTTACGCTCGACGTTCTGTAGCTTCCTGTAGATCTCTCGCAGGTCGTCCGGCCACATGTGCTTCGCGGCGTCAATCCTGAAATCGGGGCTCGGGGCTTAATTCGCTCTGCTGAATTTTGCTCGCTAAAACGGCTAATCGTGAGACTGCTCGCGAACTAACCGGAAGCCAGCGACGCCCGCGTCGATAGCTTCGTTCATGAAGCTGACGATAACATCGCGGACGTACTTGTCCGTCTGATTGAGATCGTGCAAGCCGACCAGGTCGCAATTTCGCACGTTCACCGGGTCGTTATAATTGTTGATACCGCACGGCGGCATGTGAAAATCTTGCGACGAGTACGGCACGTTATAATAGTCACGCTTATAGGTATTCGCCGTCGAACCGCCGGTGCCAAGCGGATGCTCGTAATCGCCGGTCATGTGGTTCACCACCGTGTCAACGTAGACCCGCACGCCGACTTTGTTGCACCGCTGGACCATGTCTTTGAATTCCTCTCCCGTGCCCGACCTCGTCTCGAATTTGTAAGATATCGGCTGGTAACGCTCCCACCACGGCCTGTTGGGTACGATCACGTTTTCTTGGATCGGCGAAACCTGCAAGTAAGTTTCACGGGGCTTTTTAGTAGAGATCGCGCTCAGCCTTCATCAAGTCGAGTTTGCTATCGCGCCGCGCGCTTATCACCAGATATCGCGACCACTATGACCTCATGACGCTTGGATTAGTTGAATGTAGAACTCTGCAGCATTTTCACGCGGTAACTGAAAATTCGACTGTCCTCGAGGCTCGCGCGAAAGTCGCGCTCGCTCGGTTTCTCCGCCGGACAAATTGCGATTGGACTTTAGCGTCGTCAAAATCACGCGCTCTCGATCCTCTCTCACTCCCCTCACCTGCACGCCGCCGTATCCTTTGGGACCGAGAAATTGCTCGCACTCCTTCGCGATATCCTGCCATTTCCACTCGAAGAGGTGCACCATTGCGCTATGGCCAGGCGCGTAAAGTGGATCGCGGTAAGCGTCGCCGTTGTTAGCGACCGCCGCCGACAGGAAGGCTAATAAGGTGCACACTGTCGCTTGCATTGTGTATACTAAAGCTGATCGTTACCAGCCTGCGGAATATATAAGCTCGCTGGCACAAAATCGCGAGCCATACGCTGTGCTGCGAAGTGAAATGATTATTCACAGTCGGTAGAGTGGCGTTTGATACGTTCGCGATAATTCTTGTCAACTGTCAAAGTCGGTGAACAGGTATGTGAAATTATTTCTAGAATACCTAGAATTTTAATGACTGACAAGTTTCCGCGAAGGATAAGGATGTACTCCGAATGTAAGTCGAAATTTATATCGCCACTCTTATCAATAATTATATCCTCAAGCAAAACACGTCAGTGATATACGAGTATGTATTGGCCTTGTCAAGTTAGTTTAAGTCTTGCAGACGTTGACTTGCGCTTCCAATCATGTTTGAATTAGATCATATTCTATGGTCCTAAACGCATGATTTATCAGGGATCTATGACAATTAAATTATTTAGTGCCGTGGCACTGATAAAGCATTTTTATCACAAAAATATCAGATCAGTACATACTTTACTTTAGTATCTTTCCTCCCGATAATTTAAGGTTAGGCCCGAGGACATGCGATTTTAGAAAATCATTTTATTCTACCCTGACGTATCATGTTATAACTTTATTAAAATAATCCTTTTTTTTACAGCATTTTCTCATAATCATACAACGATGGAGAAGATGGGGCAGCTAACAGAAGTCTCCACTACATGATTCAAGGATTCTACATCTTGGCTGACGTACACTTCACTATCCAGGAAGGACTTATTCTATATAATAATATGATACATATTATATACATATATATAATTTTTTAATTTTATATGTATGTATAAAAAATATATACTGCAACACAATATACACATATATAAGTATACGCGCGCATACACACACACACACACATGTATACACATTCTTGTAATAAAGCATTCAATAACCTTTTTTATTACTTGAAAATAGAATATGTGTTATTCTCCTTTTCTAAATAATTCTTAAAATTTGCAAATTTTTAAATTTCCCGCCGAGTTTCGTGCTACCTCTTCGCTCATTATATTCTCCTGTTAAGAAAACGCGAAATTGGGAATCTGAGAAAAACTGGAAACTTTTAAATTTCCCGCCAAATTTCGTGTTACCTCTTCGCTCATTATATTCTCCTATTAAGAAAACGCGAAATTCGGAAACTGAGAAAAACTGGAGACTTTCAAATTTCCCGCCAAATTTCGTGCTACCTCTTCGCTCATTATATTCTCCTGTTAAGAAAACGCGAAATTGGGAAACTGAGAAAAACTGGAGACTTTCAAATTTCCCGCCAAATTTCGTGCTACCTCTTCGCTCATTATATTCTCCTGTTAAGAAAATGCAAAATTGGGAATCTGAGAAAAACTGGAGACTTTCAAATTTCCCGCCAAATTTCGTGCTACCTCTTCGCTCATTATATTCTCCTGTTACGAAAACGCAAAATCGGGAAACTGAGAAAAATTGGGAATTTTCAAATTTCGTGCTACCTCTTTGCTCATTATGTTCTCCTGTTACGAAAACGAAAAATCGGAAAACTGAGAAAAACTGAAATTACAAATTGGCATTAGGAGAATATAATGATCGAAGAAGTGGCACGACTTATCTTCGGTTACCTCTTCACTCATTATATTCTCCTGATACAAAAGTGCGAAAATGAGGAAACTGAGAAAATTTGTATTTTAAAGGTTTTAGAGATTTGTATTAGGAGAATATAATGATCGAAGAAGTGGCGTGATAACTTTCAATTAAATATTATTAAAAGGATGGTAGGATTAATAATAAGTAAAACATTTGAATTTTGTTTTGTATAGTAATAAATTTATTGTATAATATTATATGACAAAGTAGTATACAATATATTGAATTATAATATATAATTTGATATTAATATATGATATATTTACCTTTAATAATATAATAATATAATATAATAATATAATAATATAATATAATATGGAGATTTATATGTTATTATAATACAAATATCCTTGATCGCGCTCGCCTAAATGTGAAGAGCGAGCACACCTTCCGGATCGTTTGACAGGATCTCGATGGTAGCGTAGCCATCTTGGTCGACCTGCACGGACTTTCCGTTGCACTTGCCGTTGCACTTTTCGACAACTCCGGCGCTGATGTCGCAGTAGGTCCCCGGGGGTAGTCCGGTTTGCAGCTTTTCGCGGAAATCTCCCTCGACGTTGAAGGCGACGAAGCCTTTGGCGCCGCGGGAGAAGGCGATTCTTACCGTTGCTCCACCAGTTCTGCAGCTTCTCGCCCTTCACCAGGTTGCAAAATTGTACGAAGCGATAGATCAGCGGCCATCTGTGCTCGCACACCCAACCGTTGACGCACTGACCGTCCACGATTTCGGCTGAGATCGTGTTACCGTTCGAATCGGCGGGTGGACCTTGACGGTAATCATCGAACGAGTAGGAGCTCATGATTCGAAGAAAGCCGTAAGGGAAGCTAAGCATGAAGGCCACCGCCATCTGAAAATAATGAGGTAAATAAATTTTATCAACATACAATTAAATATAGGCCTACATATATGTACATTTCTACTTATACATATGATTAATATACTTTGGTACAGATTTATGTACATTTATTCTTCACGAAGCTTCGGTGTACCATCAGCATCTTTCCAACGGAATAAAGTTCGTTCCATCTTGGTAATTACCACATAGTGCGGTGCACCGAGGCTTACAAGTAACTGATTTCACTTCACTACGTTTACGAAATAATGATAAGCTCGCTACGTCGCGTACCTTGTACTGCTTCGGATTCTTGCGCGTCAAAATGCTGGTCGCAGCGGCGCCGTGGCTTCTCTGGTTATCGTGGTTGTCGATCATGACCAACGCGTCCGCGGAAGGCAGCATTCTCCAGGCATCTGGCTCGTCGAAATTCTGCAGTCTGGACAAGCTGTCCTGGCCGCGGAACATTTTCCCCAGTATGACACCGTACTGAAACTCAACGACGCTCGCCAGACCGTTATACTCGTACTTGCTGACTGCTTCGCTATTGTTATCGAGAACTTCCCGATAGAAGCAGGGCCGCGCGTTCTCCGGATATCCAGCCGTGATCGACGGATTCTTCGTCCTGTTGTAGATAACCGCGAGGTCCTGCGGCCACATGTGCTTCGCCGCGTCCACGCTGCAAAATGGGGCGATCTTACAAGTCGCGAGATCGCGACTACGACAACGCCAACATTGACTTCGCGGACATTGGCACTTGACAGGATGCGAAGGGTAGCTCGCTAGCCGCGACCGAGCGACGAGGCTCCTCGGCTCCTTCAACTTGGACTTGCGCGTCGCGCATATCGAGTCGTCCTCCTTGTCGTCCTCCCTCGGCGAATGTCTCATTACAAATGTCCCGGCGACTTCTTTTACCTGGCGCGCGGCTGCGCAGTAGCCGGTAGCTGACGCAGCTCGCCGGTCAGAGGTCCCGACGGTTATTTCCGCGCCGAATTATGAACGCCGGCGCTGAGGCGAGTCGTTAATTAATTAACGCTATTCGGTCAATTACGGACTTTTACCGTCCGGCTATGCGGATGCCGCGGACGCGCGAGCGCGAGCGACCGCTCGTGGCAATCACCTCTCTCGGCATTTCGCCGGGGGGGCCTCCGCGTTTGCTGCCGGCGCGAACACGGTGGCATAGGCGCGATGCGCGCGGGTCAGAGTTCATTGCAGCCCGGCGGAAAATGATATGACCGAGTAACGTTATTTATCACCGCGTGTAATTTACCACCGGCTGGCACGCGATAGTTGCGCGGCCCGCAGAAGTGATTTTTCCCCGCTGCGGGCTGCGCTACGCGACTCCGCGCGTATTCATCGATCCCGATTCGCCGACACGACTGAGCTTGAAGCCCGCGAAGAGCCACGTCTCAGAGAGATCAGAAGAATGGCAGAATGGGAGATCTGTAGCACTCGATCTCGGTCTAGCTTCGCTCCCGCTGCAGGCAGTTACGCGAAGATAACGTTCCTGTGGTGGCGATTCTTTGACTCGTTGTTGTTGGAGTTAACGACACTTTCGTTAACTCCAATAACGAGTTCAGATAACAGAATCGCACCACGCTGGAGAGTGCCAAGGGAAGACAGCTGCTCTTTCGTGTCTCTTATCATGCCTTCGAAGCTCTGTAGATAAGAAGGCGCCGTCTGTGTGTTAAGTCTACAGATTAAAGTTAAACCGACGTCATTGCGATGTCTACCTTTCCTATGATTTTTTCTTGTCGAAAGGAAGAAACGTCACGTTCGCGATTGCGCATTACGCGCAAATTATCACGCGGACGCTACCGAAGGTCTCTCGGAGCTTTCGATCGAGTCGACGCCTGCCGAAGGAAAACGTTAAGAGTAATCACCGAAAACCGGCGACTCCGAGGTCGATGTTTCTGTCGAGGAAGTCGACTATCCTCTCGCGGACGCGCGGAGACCTTGGCCTGGTCCAGATCACGAAGGCCGAACAACTCGCAGTCGCGTACTTCGGTGACGTTGTTGTAATTGACAATGTCGCATATTGGCATGTTGAAGTCTCGGGAGCTGTACGGCACCCCGGGATACTCAAAGACTCCCGGTCTGGCCGGTGTGCCGCCCGTACCGTATGCGGGGCCTTGGGTGTTCGCCGTCATGTGATTCAACACCGTGTCGACGTAGATTCGCACGCCGGCCTTGTTGCATCTGCTCACCATGTTCTCGAACTCGGACGCGTTACCGGAGCGACTGATGATCTTGTAGGAGATCGGCTGGTACCTCTCGTACCAAGGTCTGCCTTTTATCACGAGGTTCTCGCTTATCGGTGATACCTTGGGAGAGAGCGAGCCGTCACACACCCTGTCGCCTTTGATCATCGCAGAGCAGCGCAATGCTGGCAAAGATAATAATTCTAACGCGCGTTCTCGCGCCGCCAAGGTTGTTCGGATATCTTCTACGACGCGAGGATTCGGCTCGTAGTCGGCCTGACGTTAATCGCTCGGAATTTATTTTTAATTGATTTCGTTTAATTAATTAATTTCGCTCGGAGTGTCCGGTGTGTCGAGCCTGTTCGTAAAATGTAAAGTGAGAGAAACACGTCTCCTCGCTCGACAACGCGACCAGATCGCTTGCTTTCGCTGACGTGTCTCAGTGCGTGTCTAATGCGTGGCGTTATCGTTCACACAGAGTCGAAGTTTACGACGATACGTACTTGTACACCTCCGTAGCCCATCGGCCCGAGAAAGTCCTCGCATTCCTGCGCGATGTCGCGGAACTTCCACTCGAACAAGTGGACCATGGCGGTCCTGTTTGTCACGTAATGCGGATCCTTCTGGGCGGATGCGGCCGCTACGAGGGACGCGAAGAAGCCGAGAGCGGCCAGGAGCTTCATGGTCAGGCCGAGGTGGTGATGTGAAGCGAGTGCGGCGCGATGCAATCCCTAGGGTCTATTGGACTCGCTATGACCCGACGCGACGATTTATAAGGAAGTGTTACGTTCAGAGTAAGCACGTTCCAGGTATCGGTTATATTCTAGGTCGGAAGGAGCGGAGATATCTAAGTTCACGCGTTTGTTCCGTGGCGGCGCACATATAGAATTATGTGCGCGCGAGTCGGAAGAAGAACTAAAGAACGACGAATCTTGACACATTAGTAGTTCATGCTCGGCCGAGTCGACGCGCAGTTTGGTTTTCATCGCTATCATTATACTCAGAGGAATTACCTCGATTGAATAATAAAAGGAGGTGACATTGCAGGCTAGACTAGAGTTTTTTCTTCGTACAAAGGATCAGGAGGTAAATAAGAAGAAGAGGTGATTATTGATTTTTTCTCTCTCTGAGTCTTCTACGGCTCGCCTATGACCCCCCCTCCCCCCCAGTTCGGGGGCGAGATGGTGAGGACGCATCACTGCATCTCTCTTTTCTCTCTTTCGGTGCAGCGACGCAACGTTGGACCGCTCTTCGAGCACAATACTGGCTGTACAAGCTACACCCTTCGCAGACACGGCATTACTTTTCTTGGCACTTTCATCTAATCAGCAACAGACTTTCTATTCGGGTTTTGCCACGGCATACGGATAGCCGTGTGATTAGCAAACTTGTATTTGGAATCCAGCATCAGATAAGCTTCTGACTGTTTCTAGTTGTTGGAATCGCATTTATTATATTATAGCATTCTTCGCGGGTTGTACACAACTTGATAAACGGAACAAGCTAACGACGACTTTTAGCTCGTCTTTGACCCTGGCCCAGTTTAACCAGATATACTCTCTAACATAATTACTATACAGGGAGTGACGTTGTTGATACAACGATTATTGATGACGATATCTGACAACTGGCGGCGATAATAGCGACGCATTGTCAGCGCGACGAGCGGTCGGTAGAGCGGCCGATAATCGCCGCGGCATTTGTCATTTCCTTCTCGAATGACATTAATTGCCGATGGTCAGGGCGATTGCAGGCGTCGCAATTGCGAGGCGCTTTGTTATTGTTGCTCGACGCCGAGCGAGGAGAACGCCGGCGAGAACGCAAGCGGCGAAAACAATGCGGAAGCGTCCCGCGCCAGATGTGGCCGGCTGTCGGATAAAATGCGCCTTCTTGTGAGAAGACAAAGTCCTTGGAGATAAAGGACAGCTGTGTCACCCCCTCCCACTGCCTCCACGAGTTTCAGACGGAAACTTTGGGATGTCCGTAGGACGCACTTTGGACTTTGGTTCAGCGGCGCTCGGGGCGGAGCTGAAGTAAAGGTGAATCGTACTTGACGAGTCGTTCTTCAGCGACTTTCAACCTCTCCTGTTTACCTCCTCGTTCGAAGCACATTATGACGTTTCGCGTCTCGACGATCCCGTCTCTCCTTTTCCGTCGCAGCGGCCGGCGCTGCTATTTCGGCGCGAGCGACGGCGACGGCGTCAGCGGCGGCGACGGCCTTTTTAAAAGGCCGTTAACCACGAGACGAGAGGCGCCTCGATAGCAGATGGCGCGATTGATAGATCGGGACGGACTAAATCCCGCGATACCTTACGTCATAAACGCCGCGGATAACCGGGGGCATAATTATTCGCGCGGTGCGCCTGCCTGCCACCTGACGCTCGTAACGAGTCGGAGTCGGCTCGACTCGCCGCGCGACTCGAGACTTGATCGGCCAGGGAACAAGGTCGCCGGAGATACGGGTGCGAGGTGTCACGACAATATTCATCGATCTCTTTCGGCGTAACGCGCCTCTCGCTATTTATTCGGGATGATTTGTCTGCGATTTATCACGCAGCATTTGCGCCAGGCCGCGGCGACGGCGACGGCGACGGCGACGGCGACGGGACTGCGTGATCCAGCTGTTGAGCGTACGCCGCGGCAGAGATTTACGTTCGCGCAAAAAACAACGCGGACATGAGCCTTCGAAACGACGAGACGCGCTCGACACCGGCGTCGCCGCTACCGCTACCGGCATCTGACTCGCGCGAACTCTCCGCGAGAGAGAGAGAGAGAGAGAGAGAGAGAGAGAGAGAGAGAGAGAGAAACGTCCCTTCTCTTTTCCTCCTCGCCCCGCACAGCGTCCCCTTCCCGAAGAGGAGACCGCGATCGCGTGGATCAGTGAAAAACTCCTCCGAGACCACGACTTCCTTTATTTGTATTCAGGTTGTTTTTTTTTCTTCCTTTTTTTCTTTTTTTTGTCTGGTTTTCGGCTACACAGTATATCACAGCAGTAGATAGATCGAACTTGAAGTAGAATTACACACCGATCGCCAGCGAGCTATAACAACGGTTTGACCTTTGTACAGTTGCATGAGGGGTTACTCCCTTTGTTTACCTGTCTTGTCTTGTCGCTTCTTATCTTTGCCCCTCGCGGAGGAGGGGGGAGGTGGAATGCGTGTGTCGTGTGTTCTGAGAGATGGGAGAGAAAGAGAAAGAAAGAGAGAGAAGCGCGTACACACGTTGATCAGGGTCTTGAATGTTTCCTCTCGACGAGCACGAACCGAGCTCGAAGTTACGTCACGCGACGCATTACGGATTACGCGGTCCCGAGAGAAGAAGAGGCGGACCACTCTGAGAAATCATTGAATTGACACGTTGGCTACCGCTAGTTGGACATTTTGTTTATTTCCGCCGGCAACATCCTCCGCGAAAAGACGTCGCGGCTCGTTGTGTCCTTATTTAAAAAAATTATCTCGACGAGTGGCTCGACGTGGAGTCGTCTAGACAGACTGTATAAAATTTCGGACTCTCGGGAGATAGATCATATGCGTGTGTGTATGTGTGTGTGTGTGTGTGTGTGTGTCTGTGTGCGTGCGTGCGTGCATGCGTGTGTGCGTGTGTCGGTGGCACAAGCGCAAATTATAATCGGACGCGCCTGCGCGTCGGTCGACAGTGAACATGTTAATCATTCTCTCTCTGTTTTGTTCCTTTTTTAACTGAGGTCGCCGTGAACGCGAGCGAGAAAATAATTTGTTTCGCGCACGGGCGATACTTGACGTCGCACTCGTACATGTATTGTACATGTTACTACAATGTATTGCACATACAGCTCGACCGGGACACGCTGGTCGTCGTCGGTACAATGACGGATTTCACGAGGAGTGCGCGCCGTTCTTAGGCTGCCTATTTACATGCAAGTGTATATATATATATATATATTTATATATATGTATTTCTTATACACACACACACACACGCACACACACACACACACACACACACACACACGCACACGCACACACACCTCACGTATAAAATAATAGAAATATATCGCTCTGTGTGCGCGCGCGCGAGACGGTGTGCATGGACAAGTAAAAACGGCTCCAACATTCACAAACATATCCTTGACACCTACCTGCGATCAAGCTGCACATGCGACGGCATATAATAATGAAACATCATTGACGGTGACATAACAGCTGCGTTTGCTCAATTCCACCTCTGTCTCGCGCTCGATTGCTGCACCGACGCTCACAGTGCCTCGGGATCTGCTTGCACTCTGTCAAGCCGCGCCTAAAAATTAAACACGCGCGCCCTCCGTACCGTCCGATCCTTACGGTCCCGGATGAAAGTCTCGCGTGTTGCCGCGTCGAGGACGCTCAAGTGTTGTTGGAACGTGCAACTTATCGTGGCCGCGTGCCGGTCGATTACGTCTACTTAACAGCAACTACACACGGTGACGGCGTGCCTTTTCGCCTCGCGACTCGTCCTGCGCCATCAGGAGCGTGGCGTAGCTTCGCTACGGCCGCCGCGCTTTCGGACGATTGATCGCGCGCGATTCGGATTCGGAAGAAAACACCGCCCTCTCTCGAGGTTAGTCGCGACGACCGGCCGAGAGGGAGGAAGCGCGCCTACGGCGACGCGAAGGTCCTTGTTGAATTATTTGTTACTGTAGAATCCGCGTTGGCCACAAGGCCGATACGGGACTCGCACGCGTCCCGCGCCAGGCCGTGGCGTGAAATCTACTTTGAACAAGCGTACCGCGGCGCTTCTCGGAGATCATCATTGTGTGGATTGTCGTCAGACGCGGCCCGCTGCGAGAAGCTCGACTAGCGATGCTCGCGAAGATACGAATCGGTCCGACGACAACAACGAAGCGTAGCACGCACGGTGATGAAGACGGTGATAGAGAGAGAGAGAGAGAGAAAGAGAGAGAGAGAGAGAGAGAGAGAGAGAGAGAGAGAGAGAGAGAGAGAGAGAGAGAGAGAGAGAGAGAGACTGCGGTCGCGCCGGGTAAGTCGCGCGCGAATGAAAGTCGGGTCACGAGAAAGAGAAAGAGAGAGGAGAGGGAGGGAGAGAGAGAGAGAGAGAGAGAGAGAGGAGAGAGAAAGACAGCGCAAACAATGATAATTACGGCGCGTATCAAAGCGTGCGACATCTTTGAAACGCACACCTACTTCCTCGTCCAGCCGCCTCGGAGCGGTCGCGCGCAGACACGCGACCGACTGCTGCGGTTTCACCCGCCCGTGAACACGTGAGATACATATTTACATTTGCACACGTTTACGTTTAACAGATACATATTTCCACGTTTCAACAATAATACGCACTCGCGCGTCTTCCCGTCCGCATCTCGCTCTGCGACGATGCGGACGCGCGATCGAGACAGTGACGGAATCCCCCGATTTATTACATCTACGAGTTGACGAGTTGACGCGCGAGCGGCTCGAGATGGACGCGACGACGCCCGTGTATACTTGAGGAAGTCGAAGAGAGAAGGAAGCCGATCGGCTCTGCGGTGTATCCTCCGGCACGCATTCATCCCTAACTCGCGCGTCCGCGAGAAGACGCCGAAGGAAACGCCAACGCGATCCGAAAGACGAAGTGGGACCTCGGGCTGCCGAGGTGTCGTCGCATCGACGACCACGACGACGAACGCGTCGCGTTCTCGATCTCGAGAGACTCGCCTCGTCTTCCCCTCTTTCGTCCTTCTTTCTCTCTCTTCTTTTGGATAGAAGAAAATTACTAGTGTCACTTGTTTTGAAAATTTTCTCGTTCTTTCTCGAGTCGATACTTCTTTTTCCGCGCGATCCTCTTTCTCGCGCTTCAGAGGGGATTCCTCCTCCCCCCCCCCTTTCCAGACTAACAAATCTACCTCTATCTATTTCCCTGCCTCCGCTCATGAAGACGGTGAACGGGCGAGTCGTCGAGCCGTGAACGTGACGCGCGAGGTCCGTTCGTTACAGAAACGGCGAAACGAGTTACGAGCCGGAACGAATCGGAATTTAGAATATGTGCGTTTTGTACAGCCAAACCAGGTTGGCGGCGCGGGCCTCGTGCCTCAGCACCAGCCGGATGTAGAGTCCACCCGCTCCCTCGAGCGGCAGGACTCCCGGCTGCTGCGGCGGCGGCCGCGGTGGCGGCTGTCGCTGCCGCGGTTCCTCCTTCGGCCGTCGCGGCTTTCGGTCTTCCTGCCGCGCCAGCGTCTCCCTTTGCTGTTGCTGTTGCTCCGCGGGCGGTTCCTGACGCGCTTCCTCCACCGGCCGCGTCGTCTCCTTGCCATCCTCTCGCTGGTCGCGTGCTTGCGTTCGCTCGCCTCCCTCTGGCAACCGCGGGCTCGATTTCTCCTTCCGCTGCGGCTGTTGCTGCTTATGGTCGTCCTTCTTCCGACCCTCGACCTTCCGCGTCTCCTGCTTGCGCTCCGCCAGTTTCTTTCGCAGCTCGAGCTCCTCCTTCTCCAGCTTTCGCTGCAACTGCTGCTCTTCCTGTTCCAGTTTCTGCTGCAGCGCTCCCTCCTCTCGCTCGAACTTGCGTCGGAGCTGCTGCTCCTCCTGCTCCAGTTTACGCTGCAATTGCTGCTGTTCCTGCTGCAGCTTCCGCTGTAGTTGCAGCTCTCTGTCCTTCTCCACCTTTTGCCGCACCTGCTGCTGCAGGTGGCCCGGCTCTTTCCGCTGCGGCTCTTCCCGTTTTTGTTCCTGTTCCCGTTGTTTGTCCTGTACTTGTGCCTGCTGCTGCTGCTGCTGCTGCTGCTGCTGCTGCTGCTGCTGCTGCTGCTGCTGCTGCTGCTCCACTTGCGTCTCTTGCTGAATTTCCCTCCGACGCTGCGGCTGAGGCGATTCCTGCGGGCGCTGCGGCTGATACCGCGGCGGCTCCTGCTCTGCCTGCGGCTGCTCCTCCTCTTGCTGTTGCTTCCGCGGCTGCTCAAGCTGCCGCAGCTGCACCGGCGATCGCTCCTTCTGCTCCTTCTCCCGCTCGACAACGTCCTCCACCACCACCACCACCGCTATCGCCGCCGCTCCCTCGTCGGTGCCGCAAATGTCCTCGCGTCGAGGCTCGTCCGAAACGGCCGCAATCTGTGCGGCCGTGGCCTGAGGTTAGTTGCTACCAGAATGCTGCTTCTGATCAGATCCGCCATCGGAGCCGCTCGAGCTCAGAGTCGTGTTGCTGCCGTACGGATCCAGCGACGACTGGACCGACATGCTGCGGCCCTGTCTCCTCACTCTGTGGGGGGAGAGTTTCCTGGGGTCGACACTGGTTGGGTCTGCCTGCAACAAATCCCCTCATAAAGGAACCGCCCGCCAGCCCGCCGAGTCTCGCGGATTCCTTGTCCCGTTCAGCCGTGCGTTCGTCTTGTTTCTGAGACGGGTGTGTGGAAAACGCAACGCGCACCTGATAAGCCAACGCGTTCACGATGATCTCCGACGGCACCAGGCCCAACGGGTTCACCTCCTGCATCAGCACGGTGGCTGGGATCTTGTGGAACTGGATGTACTCGATGAAGTTGCCAATCACCTCCTTCAACGGTGTGTTCTGGTTGTTGTCGCAGTACTTCTTGCTCCACATCAGCGCGGCCTGAAAGCGACGAGTCGCGTCGTTGACGAGTTCAAGGGACGCAGCAAGAGGTAGAAGCTCGAGTCACGACTGTACGTTCGTGACGAAATTACCTGAAATTTCGTGAACTCGTCGGCGCGCAGCTCCTCCCTGGCGAGGATCAGACGGACTACGTGCTGCGGAAGCAGCGTGAAGGATCCCAGGTTCAGCACCTCGTTGCCGTGCTCGTCGACGAACTCCAGTACCTGGAAAAATTTATACGACGTGGTGGAGCGCCGATTGCAACGCACAGTGAGCCAAAAGTCCACTGTGGTTGGCCAAAATTCAATTTCTTGAACTTACGTGAAATCAAACATATGTGATATTATATATTTATATGCGCTTTCCTACACTAAATGCTGAAATATTGTTTCTTTATATCAATTGGTGTTGCTTGTAGAAGGACGTGAATGTAAAAAATTATGTTTGCAAATTTAAACGTTCTATGACTTTCATACACCCTTTGCTACGAATCTTATCTTATCAGATGTTATAGCAGTACATTTATATTCTTAAATTGGACAAATAAAGTTATTTTTATCAATACATGAAGCGATAATACATCGCGCAGCTGCGACGAATGAATTCAAAATCGGCAACTTCGAAACACTATTCTTATCAGTCAGGAAACAAACTTGGCAAAATCTCGAATTCCCGATAGTTTTTAGGATTTTCTATCTTATCGTGTATTCAAGTAAGTGCAACATTAGTTTCATCAGACGGAACAAAGTCAATGTACCATGAAGAACTTCGTGTATTGATAAAAATAACTCTATTTGTTCAATTTAAAAATACAAATGTACCGCTACATAACATCTGATAAGACAAGATTCATAGCAAAGGGTGTACGAGAGTCATAGATTTAAATTTGCAAACATAGCTTTTTACATTCACGTCCTTCCACGAGCGACACCAATTAACACAAGGAAACAATATTTCAGCATTTAGTGTGGGAAAGTGTTTGATTTCATATAAGTAATTCAAGAAATGGAATTTTGCCGAACCACAGGTGGACTTCTGGCCCACTGTGCTACGTCAAGATTGTGAGTTTAGCGGCAAGTAATAAGTTCCTGCCTCCCGGTCTACGACCGAGCGCGCTCGTACCTTTTGCACCAACGACTTGGTGCACTTATACTGAATGTAACGCTCGGCCGAGGCCAGCAGGGCGCAGACGGTGTCGACGGTTATGCAGCACTGGACGAAGCCGGCGCAGGCTCGCCGGAGCTCGTCCAGTCCGTAGTAATCAGCGGCGTTCATCACCCCTGCAAACGCAAGTGGAGTAATCGCTTCATAGACCGGACGCGAGAGACGCGAGTGACTCCTTCCCGTCCGGAAACACACATGACAAACGCGTCGGTCACGTACCGAGCAGAGTCCTGGGCTGCAGCGTCACGCACCCCGTGTGGATGTACTCGATCAGCTGGCGGAACACGTCGGGCTCGAACTCCTCGATGATCAGCGTGTGGTGCTGATTCGACTGCGGCTGCGGCACAAGAGCAAAGTGCGAAGATCGGAGGCGCGCGAGCGGACGGGGGGCGTTCGGGAAGTGTTGAAGCTTGAATCGGGTAACCGTGCTAAGCGACTCTTGCGGAAGTTGCTTTGGAGCTTGTGGAGCGGTACCGACGAGTTGAGTTTACTAATTACGGTGAGAAGGGAGAGGGAGACGCGCGCGGAGGGGGAGGGGGGTCGTCAGGGTGAGCGCGCGGTCTCTGTTAGCGAGCCTCTGGAAAATGTGCGCACTTTAATGAGACGTTAATCAACAGAGCTGAAGAATTTTCAGCGCTCGACATTCGCTAATCTTTCGCGCGGCTGAATAATTTCAAATGGCTGCTTCGTGAGTATGACGGAAATATGTCGGACTAGGGGATGACAGGGCCAGGGGATGGAGGGTGCGAGTTGAATGCCACGACATACGTATCTCACTGTCATCTGATGATGAATTCATGTTTACACCTACGACGTTCCTACGACTTCGTGCGGGCCATATCTGCGTGCAAGTGCGCTAACACACACAGGCTGTGTGAAATACGTATGCGTCTTGATCGCTTGTTCCCGTCGATCGAGTGTTTCATCAGGAGGGTGCGAATTTCTTGCGCTACTCTGACTTGTAACTTTGCAATGAGATCTTATGGGTGCAAATTCTCGCCGCCAAACTACGGTGCGCTTAACATCGTCAGAAAGATAGGTAAGACTACTGTTCTATCTAAGTAGCGACCAAGCGAACATCTCGGAGCGTTACATTCCTTAATTCCCAAAGGCAATTTGCGACTCCCGTATGCGCGTTGTCTGAGATTGTACTTCGCGAGATTGATATTTCGCGCTCCTAGCGGGAAATGGAAGACTCGTGCTCGCTTGGCCGAGATCGAGCAAAGTGAATAATCGTGAGCCGATACGAGCCGATACTTCGAAGTAGCGAGGACCGTAACGTGCCAGTCTACAACTATTGCGGATATAGTGACTACGAGAGCTATGCAATCCAATCGATCATGCAGCAATTCGGATGCGCAACCAACGTTTCACACGAGCGTGACCGTACGAAATCTACCGGACGGACGTTCGAGTCGTCCACCGCCCGATTCGCCCCGCCAGCGGGAGCTCTGCGCGCAAGGAAGACAGTCAGAAAGGAGGGAGAGTGTTTGATCAAAGTTAGAGAGAGAGAGAGAGAGAGAGAGAGAGAGATTCAAGGCAGTCAAAACACATCGACTTGTCACACACCGATCTCCGATGGTCTCAGCTACGCGAGCGCTTCTAATAAAGGAATCTAAGAAGGTTCATCTCGCGTAGACAGAGTCGCGAACTAAAAGATGCAGAGAGCGGACGGAAGATGCAGCGGAGGGAAGAGGAAAAGAGAGAGAGAGAGAGAGAGCGAGAGAGAGAGAGAGAGATCAAAGGCGTGGATTAGAGAGAAAGGCGGCGCGGAGGGCGAAGAGAGGCGCGGGATAGACACGATCTCAGTAAAAACTGTACGTAAAAGTGACGTTCAAAGTACCTCTTGGATGGGGGCCAGTTGCTGCGTGAACCCTGACCGCTGTATGACACATACAAATGCACACTTACTATTTCGAGCCTGGTAAATGCGGGAGATTCATCTCGGCGACCGTCGCGCGATTGATGTCGCAAGGCGCGACAGCAGCCGTCTCTAAGATACATTCGATCGCCGCGAATCTCCCAACTTTGCATGTCACACGCTAATTAGCGCGTTGAGATAAGATTACCGATCTTTACCATCGTTTAAATCCGCGCTCGCGCTCGATAACGCGGACGATAACGGCGACGACAACAACGATCCTTTGCGCGTTCGCCTCTTTCTCACGTCGGAGAAATTAGCCGTCGGATCAATTTTATACATGTACGTGATATGTGCAATGTGACAATTTCCCCCGAAGAAAGCGCGATAGAGCTCTTCGGGAGAAAGTGAGAGAAAAAATCGAGAATGGCCGAACAAATCGCGCACGCACGGAGAGACGCCATCGGAATTGTCGCGCGCGGTCAACTGCGATCGCACACAATGTACAGCCTACAATGTACCTGTTGCGCCGCGTTCTGCAGGTTCAGCAGCGGCTCGGAGCTGCGCTTGAGGAACAGCCGGATCTTGTTCTCGCGCGCCGGCGGCTCTTTCTTGCGCTGCGGGCTCGGCGCTTGGTACAGCATCTTGTGGAAGACTCTGCAAATCGCGCGGCGGAAAGTCAGGTCAGGCCCTTTTACCCTCCCCCCCTCCTCGCACCCTTCTACGCACCTGCTCCTGGCCGCGAGCACGGCCTTCACGGCGCAGACGGGCTCCCGGGTGTCGCCGACGAGGAAGGTCACGTCGCAGAGTTCCGGCATGCTCGCGAGGAACTTCATGTCGTCCGCCAGGCCGGACTTGTTTTCGAAGGTCGAGTAGTCCGACTCGTCGACCACCCCCGATCCTGAAGCCTCCGGCATCGGACCCATGCTCTCCTGCGGTTCACCCCGTGGGGAAAAGTCTCCGTAGCGGTGGCCCGGTCGTCGAAATTCGTGCTTCCGGAATTTCGACGACCGCCCGGCTCCCCGAACAAACCGCTCGACTCACCGCGCGACCGGAGAACCTCGACGAGAGCGACGAGTCGGCTTTCTAGCGTACATCGTTTACGAGATTATCTTCACAACAAAATGCGCCAAGTGGAGAACCTGCTCGATAACAATCACGTTACGTAAGCAACGTGCGCGCGCGCGCGCGGGGGCTTCGGTAAAAATACCTGCGTGGCCTTTGTGTGCGCGGAGCGTGCGAAGGGAGCGTGCATGTAAAGAACGAATCCGTCGTCCGTGAGAGCGATCATCGGAAGGATCGGCCGCGTGTAACCGGCGAGACGAGGCAACACGCGCTGTATCAAAAGGAAATTTTGCCTAGCCGCTGAGAGCGCGGCCGTCTCTATCGAGGCGAATTTTTATCGGCGGTCTCGCCGGCGCGACGCGGCGCGGCGCGGCGGAGCGAGCCCCTTTAACGCAACTTCCATCTGCGACGCAGTTAAACGCTTCGGGCTTGGAAAAGCAGCGCGCGGACGCGCCTCGAGCTCGCTCATTATTCCTGCCAATAATAGCGCTTATAATAGCGCCGTGATAATAGCGCTTAATTATTACCGCCTCGCGATTATTGTCGCGTCTTATCGAGCGCATAACGCGCACTGCGACGCTCTCGTCGATTTCGCCGTGTCGGAAGCGACGCAAAAGAGAGAAAGAGAGAGAGCGAGAGAGATAAATGCGCAACGATCGCGCTGTAACATACTTGGGGCTTGGGAACGGACGGGGCGGTTGAAGGGAGAGCGGTGTCGAGGAAGAGGCGAGCAGTCTGATCCGTCGGTATGAAGCCAAGTGTTTTACCTGTTGCTTTGGTCCCGGAGCCCCTTCGCTTGCCGGGCTGCTCTTGCCACGAAAAAACACTTTTAACTCACTTCTCGAATGTCCCCGGTGAAACCAGTCGAACGTAAGCTGGACAGAATGCGCGGGTGAGAAATGCGCGAACAATTTGACCGCGTGCATGCACGAGGCGGAGAGGCACGCGGCGCGGCGACGAAGCGAGTTCCTCGGCGCGGAGGCGCGACCGCTCGCGCTTTCTCTCTCGTTACAACAGAAGACAGTCTCTCTACCGACCGCGAGCAGTGAAACGCGGAGGGAACGCCAGCTCAAAGAGCTCCCCCCCGCATGAATGACGACGCACCCAAGGTACAGGTCGAAATCATCTTTCAAGCTACAGGTCTACTCCATCACCACTACTGCTCTACCGCTATCGCTTTGCTACCGCTCGACGTGTACACACACTCGACGTCGACGCGCCGACGGAAGACGCGCGAGTCGTCCGAGTCTGAGACAGTGCGCGATTTACCTTGCGAGATCCGTGGACGCGCGTAGCGCGATGGGTCGATCCGCCGGCCCCGATGCGATCGCGAGGGTTGCTTCCGTGCCGTCCCCCTTCTCAGCGGAAAGGCCCGGCTTCCGCGGCGGCCGCGGAGGATGACGAACGCGAGAGCGTGTCTGACGTGTCCGGGCTGCTTGCCGTGTCGCCGCCTCCGTGTGTGATGTTTGTCCTGACGCAAGCGGCGACGCGAGAGAGCTTTCGCGCGTGGGCGTCGCGACGCGGTGCTCCGAGAGCGAGAGCGAGAGCGAGCGGGAGCGGGAGCGGCCGAGAGTGAGAGTGACAGTGACAGACAGAGAGAGAGAGAGAGAGAGAGACAGAGAGAGAGAGAGAGAGAGAGAGGAAGAGAGAGAGAGAGAGGAAGAGACACGAGAGCTTCCGCCGCGAGCAGCTAGGCAGACGGAAATCGCGGACACGGCTCTGTGGAAGACGCTCGCGCGGCTTCCGAGGGAGAGCTCCGAGACACGGCAGGACACGTCGCGACGAGGCGAGACGGAGATCGCGTGAATGGACGTCGAGTCGCGGCCGAAGAGAGTGAGAGCGAGCGCACAGAAGAAGAACGCGGAGTCTCTGGGCGAGCAGAGGTGCACGAAATGCAGAGCTTCCTGTCGATGAAGCGTCGACGGGGCGTCGCGCGGCGCCTGCGTCACGCCGGACGCCGATCGAATTCCGTGAGCGAGGCTTCTGCGCCGGCCCGACCCGGAGGACTTCTCTCTCTCTCTCTCTCTCTCTCTCTCTCTCTCTCTCTCCCTCTCTCTCTCTCTCCCTCTCTCTCTCTCTCCCTCTCTCTCTCCCTCTCTCTCCCTCTTGGCTGCTGATGGAACATTGGAGAAGTTCCGAGAGAGGGTCGGATATCCTTGGAGCCGGCACGATTGATTAAATAAATATCACCTGCCGGAGTTCGGCCTGAAGCTCCAGATAGCCGCTCGCGGCGCCTAATGACGTTGATTCCCGATGGGGTGGATGGGGTGTGAGGGGTTGGTACGCGCGTCGCTTGGTGGGGTAGAACGCCATAGGTTTACCGCACGGCTTTTCCGAATGCCGAATAACCGCGGATTAGAAAGCGTATGGGTCGTGACTGCGGAATAATTTTCTCGCAGACTCCGTACCTGTCTAGTTTGCTGTCACCTGTCTGATAGTTTGTTCTTGGTTTGATCGGCGTGTATAATTTCTCCCCCTCACTCGTGGATCCTGCAATTTCGCGGCCGATGTCTCTGACGAACGAAAGCTCGCTCTGACGTGGAAATTTACGTTTCCACGTCGTTTTATTAGGCTGCGTCGATTTAACTGATAATTTGATATTAATTAATAATTGTACTCTGGACATGTAACGCTACTCTGTTACACTTTGCGACGCCCGCTTGTTGCCGCCGTTTCTCCTCGGGAGTATGTCTGAGAGGAAGATGTCACGCCGCGCAGTGACACTCCGGACTGATCTCCGGATCATTCGCGTCCGACATCTTCCATAAGTCGCGCGCGTGTACGCGTTGAACGAAGTTATCCGCAAGGAAAGCGAAGGTAAACGCGTGCTGCAGTCCGTGCGAGACGAATCGGAGTCAAGCTCAAAATCCGCCGCTGCGGATTCATTAGCGTCGGTGAAGGAACTCTCGTCCCTCTGCTCCGTCCGGCTGCGCCGCCGTCTTTCCCTCCTGATCAATACGACTCGACGGCGCCGCAACAAGTAGCACGGCGGCTGCAAGAAAAGAGATACGACGTTTCCCAGCGCGCTTCGTGCGCGACGACATTTCCTAGCCGCTTTAGTCCGTCGTCGATCCTCCGGCGAAACATTTTGCCTCGGCTTCAACGAGCCGCGGTCGCGCTCTTCGCATTGTCTGGAAATTAAAGGCACCCCGCGACATTTCTGCGACGTCAGCCGAGTTGATTCTCCGAGTTCTCCTCGGATTCTGCCCGGAGCACCGAAATCTACGAGCCAAAGTCTACGAGAGTGAGGAGAGACGAATCGTCGCGCGCGTGGTGCTCTCCGAGCACACGCGAGTTTCGCATCGCGCGACGAAGAAACCACCCTCGGGGAGTCCCTCGTCCCCTCATCGCCGAGCAGAGTCTCTCGCGTGAGAGGCCGTCATGCGCCTCCTGCGTCTCGCCGAGGCACGCCTGCGCGAGAATAACGAGCGATTTCGTGCTCGTTCGCGTAACAGCACGGCAGCCCTCTTATAATTGTTAAACGGCTCGATGGCGACAGGGCTGTGGCCGCGCTCGTCGCGAGCCGACTTCTTCGCTGACGAGGCTTCCTCTGCTCGTGCTTCCTTGGACGAGAGCTCAGAGCATACGAGAGAGAGAGAGAGAGAGAGAGAGAGAGAGAGAGAGAGAGAGAGAGAGAAAGCTCACGCGTTGTCGGCACTCTGCAAACTGTGAGCCGCGGCCCGCAGAGCGACGACGCCATCCTCGCGCGCGAGACTCCGTTGGCAGATTTTTCCGGCGTGATTATTGATCCCTGACGTTGTTTACCTTGCTCCTGGAAACCCGGCCGGGACTCGTGGGCGCGAGCGGAATCGGGTCAAGGCTGACTGTGACTGTGTCACGCCCCGTTTCCACGCGGCGTTTCATCCATCCGTCGGGGGAAAGCCGACTATTTATACTTTCCCGACAAAGCGGCCCTCGCGCGCAACGCCTCGCGCGTCCTTGAGCGGCCAGGACCCTCGCGTCGTGCGCAGTTACGCGCGACGAGCATCAGGCGACTGATCGTTATTCCTAAGGTACGATCGCTCTCACACAGCGCTCACAGACTGCGCGCTCGAGACGCTGAGATCGGGATTAAGCGCGAGTCGCTCGGCGTGGCGGGTTGGCGGAGATGCGTCGGTAACATAAAACAACATCGATTTATTCAACACAAATACTTGCACGTTATGATAGAGGTTCGTATATAGTAATGATAATTATGATAATAATATTCATATATACACGAAATAAGGCACGTTCGATATTACATTAATTAAACGCGCGCGTCCCGCGGCGGCCGCGGCGCGGCGGTCGCGCTAACTCACGTTTATCGTTTCTTTTTATTTATTTTCTTTTTTAACTATTACTATCCATCGTCCTCTCTCCCTCACGATATGCAACTTCCTTACCAAATGTAGAAAATGTCATATATATATAATATATATATAATCTGTATAAACTTGTTCTCTCTCGCGTCCCGGTAAAACCATCCGCGCGCGCGCATCCGCTTGCGACGGATTGCGAAACGGATTATTATCCCGCTCTCCGTCCATAATCGCATTTCCTCGCGTACGCAACGACTCCTCCGATGCCTCGCGGATCGGCAAAACCGCGGCCTCCACAGATTCCTTTATCCCTAAGATTAGACAACCGCTAATTAGAGACATATCTAATTAAGCACGCACTCGTACACCTCTCTCTGTCCTTCTCCCTTTACCCTTGCTCGCAAGGAACTCCCGAACGCGTCTTTCCGAGTTGCGCGTCGATTCGCGCGTGCTTCTAAATACGTTCTGCGTCTCCGTGCGGGGTTCTTCTACGGGAAAACGACTCTGCGCCGCCATTCTTCTCGCCCGAGAGAACGTCGCTCCTGCATTTGAATTCAACGAAGAAGGGAAAGGCGTGTGTATGTGTGTGTGTGTGTTCTCCAAGCGAAGGGGAAGATATGTCTCAAATTGCATCGCGAGATGGAACTCCGTATGGAATGGGGAAAAGAAAAGGAAAAAAGAAGAAAACGAACGAACGATGACACGGACAAACGTCTTCGCGAAAGTGACGACCGTCCGGCTGGCGCCGTAGACTCGTGCGCACAGACTGAGCGCTCTTCACGAGAGGCTGCGAAGAGAGGCTGTCGTTTGACAAGAACGACCTGCGAGCGACGGGATACAACCGTCCTTTATACCTCGTCTTCGAAGCTCTCTCTCACGAGAGACGCAGAGTCTGTGTGCGCGAGTGCACGGCTGATACTTGCGATTTCGTTGGCACGCAGAGAAATCGTGTTGACGGATCGCGCCTCCGGCGCGTTGGACGAGTCCGCGAAAACGGAGCGGAAGGAACGATCGTCTGGAGTGGCGCGCTCGCGTTCGTTGCAAGGACAAGATCCTCCTCCGGGAGAGGGACGTCTCGCGTGAACGTGCGCGTTTTGCAGCCGACTGGAGGACTAACGTGTCCGTCGGATCGTTTTTCGCGCGTTCCTTATCCTTATACGAAGACTGTGTGTACGTTTTTACTCCCACGCCCCCGCTCGGTCTCCGGTACCGATACGCGATATGTAGTTAAAGTTTCCAGAAAAGAGCCACAATCCCCTAAAGAGCGTACCCTTCTTCTTCTTCTTCTTCTTCTTCATCTTCTTCTTCTTCTTCTTTTTCTTCTTCTTCTTCTTCTTCTTCTTCTTCTTCTTCTTCTTCTGTTCGCGGAGTATTTCGCGCGGCGGGCTCACGTGTGCTGACGAGCCATCGACGGTCGCCGCGTCGAAGCGTCTCGCCGACGAATTCGCGCGGACCGGCAACTCGCGCACGCGTGTCCGCGCGGGTCCTTATTTCATCTACTTAGGCGGTACTTATATCCTGAACTGGCATCAAGACATCGTATCTTACACGAATGTACAAACGAAATCGAACGAGAGTCGCCTCTGTGTGCCTCCTCGGAATGTGCTTTCGCAGCTTCTCCTCCCCGTCGCAGCACCTCCCGCTCGTCGCTCTTTATTTGCCTCCACCCCTACGCGATTACCTTACGCGAATATTCTAAAACTAAAAGCTAACAACAGAAAAAATACAATCTCTGTCGCGTCGATGGAAACGTAAGTCGCCGTCCTCGTCCTTCTCTCCCTCATGCCGTCGTCGCGCCGTTTTCGCGCGAGGACTCGCTTCGGAAGAGGTGATGCGAGAAGAGATGAGAAAAAGGGGGAGAGAAGGGGAGAGCAACGGGCGATCGCGACGAGTGCCATCGTCGCGCGGCGAATGGTCGAATCGTCGACTGCGCGACGCGTGACGCACTTCCGAGCCGACGTGTGGAATGATGATGTTCGCACGGGAGAGACAAGAGCAGACGGAAACTCGCTTCGCGGGAGCAGAAGGATCCCCGCGACAAGTTCTCACGGGGTGCAATGCACCCCCGAACGCTCAGACGCACGCGTCTCGGCGTTGCGGCAGCATTCCTCGTCACCGAGCTTCCACCTGGTCCCCGCTCAGTCAGCCGAGCTGAGATCTCTCCTTCTCCGTGCAGCGTACGTTCGAGACATTTCGTATACGTGTTTGCGCGCTGCTGAAGTGGCCAGTCGGGAGGAATCGTTCTCGTCTCCGGCCGGCTGGCGCTGGCGCGCGCGCAGTCTCCCGCCGGCCCGACTTCATCCGGGGCCGACGACTTCCCCGAAGATGAAGGGTCGGCGATAGAGTCCGATTAGACACATGCGCGGGCCGTTGCGTGAGAATAACGCAGTTATTTTAACGCAACGGCGCGTCGAGGGAGCCGTAACTCTTGTCGCACTCCCTCCGAACATCGCGGCAACTCTCTCTATCTCTCTCTCTCTCTCTCTCTTTCTCTCTCCCATGGGTGGCGTTTTCTGGCAGAGGGGGAGAGAGAGAGAGAGAAAGAGAGAAAGAGAAAGAAAAAAGCGAACGGAAGGGCTCGACCGCGCGGATATATCGCCTAATACGATCTCCTTAAATCATTCGGCACACGCGAGTACAAGTTCTCTCGAGCGGCGCGCCAGCTACGTGCTCGCCACGTTAATCGCGGCGACGGCGCGCTGCGACTTCGGGATGAGAATATTGCAAAATTTGGCACTTGACTTGTCTTCTAAAAGGACCGGCAACGAGACCGTCGCGCTGCGCATTTTTCAGACTCGCCGCGATGACGCCCCGGCGGAAAATGCCGGACACGAGAGCATCGTAGCTGCCGATGTGCCGCTGCTGACCGGGACAGCCGAGAAGACGGACAGAGGAGCGAAGCGCCGCTCGCCGTCTGGCCAGACGATCGCGACACGACGATTCGCTGCTCTCTCTTTCTCGCGAGGATCGCGACGCGCGCTTCGATCCTCGCGGAAGCGCCGACGACCAGCGAACGAAAGTGACGATCGAGAGACGTCGTCTGCGCGCTGCGGTCGATACAGTCACGTTCGTTCTCACGATCCTCTCCGGCCGTCGTCCTCGATCTGTCTCTGTCTCTTGCTCGCGATAAAACTCTCAGCTTCCTCTTCTTCCTCCTCCTCCTCCTCCTCTTCTTTTCTTTAGGACTATACGACGTAGAGAAGTGAAGCGATCGCGGTCTGAGCCACCGCGCGTCCTCGCTCATCGGAGAGTTATATGTCTAATCTATATAATTTAACCTTAAACGCGCTCTCTGCGTCCCTCTCGAGTAAAAAATTCCCTAAGCATATTGTCCTCTCGCGAGTAAATTTCGTTGCATCGCGATCCGCCGCTCTTCGTCGTCGTCGTCGTCGTCGTCTGCTGGGTCGTCGTCTCGCCCTTATCCGTCCGCGCCGGTTGATCTCGGTGGAGAGGCGCTCGCGACACGGGCCCTTTTCCCTTCGATTTCCGCTCGCGCAGGGCTCGCGCGCGATACGCCGAGCGTCGAGAAATTGCACCAGCTGGATTCGCGATCGTCCGTGGCGATCTCGTCGGGACACGGCGGACCAACTCGGGGGTGGCGGCCGAGACACGACGACGGGATCCCGTGACCTCGCCGGCCTCGCCGTCGGTGATTTATCTGCCGAAGCGGGTCTTGGCGATCGAGTAGCGTTTGCCCGGCAGCCAGGAGTTTCCGGCGACGCGCTCGGAGCCTTGGCCGAGATTGTGCGAATGACGGCGCGAGAAGGCGCGGTATCACAGCTTCGACGGGTCGTAATTCTCGAAGGACCACTTCTGCCTCGGCGCGTTCGGCGAGCATTCCTCCATCACCAGCTGCTGTTTGCTCTCCGTGATCGCAAGACACTTGTCGCTGCTGCCGTGCCTGATGTGATTAGTCTGAAAATAAAAATACCGGGACCTCCGATCGAGTTTCCTCCTTTTCTCTTGCTTCGCTTTTTCTTTTCTTCCCGGTCCAACAGCGCGCGACAGACTCGAGAAATCTAATCTCGCAATTAGACTCGTTGAAATTGCAGAGAATCATAGAGAGAGAGAGAGAGAGAGAGAGAGAGCTGTCCGATCAAAAAGAAAAAATCCGCCAGCTCGTGAGATTCAGCTCGCGAGAGATCGCGATTCGGTGTTCCGCGAGCCGAATCACGCAACGCGTCGGGCAAAAATCGGCGAAATACGTTCGAGACGTGAGGATTACCTGAGGATTGTAGATCCACTGTTGATTCCCTTTGCTACCGTGGCAAGGATAAAGGATGACGTCGCTGCCGCTGTAGTCCAGGCACGACTCGTCTCGCCGGATCTCGCCCGTCTTGCTGAGCATCCAGTACTGCGATAAACGATCTCGATTAGCGCGTCCGGGATCTCGACGACGCGCGTGTTTGCCTGCGAGCCGGCGATTCTGACAGACACCGCGTCGCGAGGGAGAGAAGAATTCCGCGCGGTGCCGACGACGGAGGGAAGACATTTCGACGACGACGCGTTCGAGTCGTCATTTCCCTGCCGCGGGGATGCGAGAAACTCGCGCGCGCGTTTATAATCCGCAGCATCGCGCCGCGCGATGCTGCGTGCTGTGTGTGCGTGCCTTCCTCCTCTCTCGTGTGTGCGCCGGCGGCGCGGCGGCAGAGAAGAAGAGTCGCGGCCGGCACAATTCGGGACGCGAATTTTCGCGGTCTAACGCAGCCAACGGCCGATCGATTACGCGCGTCGCTTGTAAAATAACATGTCCCGACAATTGGCCGCGGCCAACGGTTATTCACCGCGGCGCGATGCATCGCGCCGTATCGCGCCGCGCCAAGCCGACGCGGCGTGTTTCCAAGTAGGCGCGTCAAAGCGATCCACGTTCATAATGAGCGGCGATCGTTGATAATCGAGTTCGGCCGGCCCTCGAAATTGCACTCATCCGACCGAGTGCTTGTTTGTGCAATTCCAGCCGGCTGAAATTGACAACGAACGAGCCGACGAGAGTCGGTCACTCGCTCGCTCGCGCTCGCGCGTCGCCCATCAGGCTCTCCCTCCGACTGCAGATAATATTGCAAATTCGTTTCCGGCTCTCTTGACCGGCCGGTTGCGACGGTTAATTAACTTTCTTTCAGGAGACGCACGACGCGGCACAGGCACGCGAACGGAGCGAGGCGATGCGCGTCGTTTGGTGATTATCGCGGGGCTCGATGGGGCGGACGATGAATCGGAATACGGGCTGTCAGAATCGCCCATCGCCGTCGCGTCGGCTCGACAATATAGTGTCTTCGAGTGCTTTACAAGTATAATTAGAGGACAGCGAGGCTGCGGGATAACGAGAAGCAAGCATTCGCGCACATGCGTCATCAAGCATCATTAGCCATGCACGACCCGCGCGTTCCATTTTGCCTGAGACTCTCATGAGTCGGAGCGTGCAACAACGCTCCAGCTCCACGATGCACAACTCTTCGCCTCTTCTTCATCGCATGCTTCTGATCGCGCCGCTTTTTTTACGCTTTTACCGCACTAGCGCGCTTGCGCACTAACACTAGCGCGGCTGCACCTGTCGACTCGCGAGAGTACACTTCCGTGTATTATCTCACGGACGCCGATAATTGCAGCGTGACGTTCATATCAAGCGCGATCCCTGAGCGCATAATGCCGATGATAATTCCATACACGCACGACGCCGCCCGGATCCGCATTGTAATCGGCCGGCCTGAGCCGTCACCGCAACGGCTATCTCCCGCGATGCACTCGCCTTCCATCCGATGCGCGATATGATTATTCATCTTCCATCATCCGCGATCGCGGGCGATCCCGGATCTGCGAATCGGCGGCGGCGGCGGCGGTGGAGAGAGGGACTGAGGGGACTGAGGGGAGGAGGGAGGGAGGAGGGAGGGAGGAAACCAACGTGGCAGCTCGCTGTGACTTTATCAGCGTCAGCCGGGCGACGACCGAAAGCGTAATTGCCGTGAAACCGCGGCTTAATTGCGAGGGCAAACAGCTAAATTAAAGCGGCGCTTTACCGGGCTAAGCAAGCACCGACTGATTGTGTTTTTGGTTGTAACCGGTCGCCACGGTTGTTAAACGCTTCCGTGTGCGCACGTGTGTGTCGTCGGTGGACACGGGCGGCGGCAACAGCCGAGTCGCGTCGCGTCGCGTCGCGTCGCGTCGCGCGGATGCGCGCGTTCCGTGTGGGTGGCTTTAATAACAGACCGCGCGCGCCGCGACCGAACGAGTGCAAGACACGAGATAAAGCGCGAATTTACCGCGATTTGCGCTCTCGCTGCCGCGCGAGATTGCCGGCGTTACGTTTTTTTTTACACACATCGGCGCGCCGCGCCGCGCCGCGCCGCGCCGGATCGCGTGAATTTTTCAACGCCCGACTCGGCCGTTTCCCGCGCGTCTCCTCCGGCGCCTTCCGGCCGCCCGGCCGCGTTATCGCCCTCGTCTCTCGCGGGGACTCTACGAGAGAAAGCTATTGCACAGCTCTTTTCGTATCAACGGCTCCTTCGATTTCCCCGATACTTTCCGCCGGCACGCAGAGCTAGGGGAACTCGTCGCGGGAACTCATCTCGCCGAGAGATGCATTTTTCAACGCCGCGCGAATCAGGCTACGTTGCACGCATTAGGCGGGATCGAAGTCAACGGGCGCGGATATCGACGTAAGAAATGACGATAATCCGCAGTGTGGTGTGAGCGCGCCAAAAGGCAGGCCGATTTAGGTCACCGCGCCGGAGGGCTGGCTGATTAGGTGGATCGGCAGCGGGGATGTGGATTGATGAGCACCTGCACCAGATTAGCGACGCTGCTAATTGCGCCGAAACGCGGCGCGATTAGCGGCGAGTCAGCGTGCACGCGAGCGAGGTTAGTCGGGAGGATCGACTTGTGTACTGATCGCGCGCGACCTCTCCCCGTGGAAACGTGGTCGCGGAAGATACCCCGCCGACAGATCCCGTGTGTGTTAAAAGTCCCCCTCGTGCATCTGTCGCCCCATCACCTTCACCGAACAGACCGCCGATTTAGAGATGCTCCCCCTCCCCGGAGAAGGGTTAATTCGTCACACCGATCAATCATTCATTGTTTTAGCTCAACGAGAGGGAGAGACAGAGAGAGAGAGAGAGAGAGAGAGAGAGAGAGAGAGAGAGAGAGAGAGAGAGAGAGAGAGAGAGAGAGAGAGAGAGAGAGAGAGAGAGAGAGAGAGAGAGAGAGAGAGAGAGAGAGAGAGAGAGAGAGAAGAGAGAGAGAGAGAGAGAGAGAGAGAGAGAGAGAGAGAGAGAGAGAGAGAGAGAGAGAGAGAGAGAGAGAGAGAGAGACACACACAGAGAGAGAGAGAGAGAGAGAGAGAGAGAGAGAGAGAGAGAGAGAGAGAGAGAGAGAACTCCCTCTCGCGGCTCCGTCACACACGTGTACCTGATTGCCGCCTTGGCGGTGACAGGGATACAATCCCACCGGCTGATGCAAGTCTTCGGATTTCCCGGGCGAGTCTATACATATGCCGCTAGCGACCTGCCTTATCTGCGTTGAGAATTCAAGAGAATTTCACACGATTAGTGCCGGGGCAAAGACCAGCGTTTGTAGCCGACCTCGTGTGGTCGCACACCGGCGGTTCATTTCGTGCGCGATCGCGCACGGTTACCTCTCGCACGGTCTCGCGGTTCATACACGAGAATCCAAGCAGCTGGAAGCGCGCGAACGCACATGGCACATGGAACGAACGAACGAACGCGCTCGCATGCTCGCTCGCTCGCTCGCTCGCTCGCTCGCTCGCGCGATTAGAGGGCCGCAATCTCTCGCGGGCTCCTCCCGTCGGGGTGGGTCGATATCGCCGATGAGACGGAAACTCGATTTTCTAGTAATTTGGTATGTAGCTGCGATTAGCTTCGCCGCCGCGCGCGCGAGCGCGCGCGCGCGGAATTGCCCGCTCTCTATGCGTGTTCGCGCGCGCGCGCGCGCGCGACTATTATACGATAATAATTAGGCCGAATACGGCTCGCGACCGCTAACAAGCACTGTCATTCTGCGGCTGCGAGCGACAAACGATCCCGCGTTTCCAGCGACGGAATGATGATATCGAGTGCCGTAGTATCGTGGAGTCCGAATCTAAACGACTCGTCGAGTCCGGACAATCCGGCGCGATTTCGACCGCTCGCTCGTCGGCTTCGTCGGAATTTCAGACGATGCTCCGCGCGGAAGCGCGCGATCACGCTGTCATTTTTCTCCCGCCTTCGCGGGACTCTTATTCTCGCCTGCCAATCACGGCGTCGACGACGCGGCGCGTCGTGATTTCGGACGATCGTTTCGCGCCAAATCACCGCCGCCTCCCCCGCCATTCCCGGCGCTTCTTATTTTCATCGCGAGACGCGTCAGCCCCAGCTCGTCAGAGACGTCTGAGCAGTCCCGGGCTATAATCTCCCACAGAACGACAGTCTCCGCTCTCTTTCCAGCGCCGCTTGTTTCCTTTCTCCGCGGGAGCTATCGATTTCGACGGCGCGACGTGACGCGACAAAGCGCGGCCGCCAGCTCTCGATCCTGCGAGACGGTCGTCGGTGTTTCGAGATGCAAAACTGCGTCTCTCCGAGCGACGCGCCGAACCGAGCTGAGAAGAAACTTCGAACCGCGCTCGCGGCGACGGCGAAAATCGCGTTTCCGTCTCTCTCAGAGCGATCGCGAATGCGCGCACACACACACACACACACACGGTGAGCTCGCGCGTCAAGCACTGACAGGCGTTCCGCGCTAGGCACGGCACGACACAATCACAGCGCCTGGGAGGGGACCGAGGGCTTTCTCCTTGCTCGCTGCCAATGTCTATTGTACCTGATTTCCGCCCTGTCGATGGCAGGGATACAGTCCGCACGGCTTGTGCAAATCGGCCTTGCGCGCCGGCGAGTCCAGGCAGGTGTTGCCGCCCTCGCCGAGGTTTCGGACCTGTTCGTTATTAGCGACCGTTGCGCACGTTAGTGAGTGAAAGCCAGTTTGGCGTTAGTGATTATCCGACAATAATAACAGAGACTAAAATCGAGCATGGCGTCCAAGAGAGAGAGAGAGAGAGAGAGAGAGAGAGAGAAAGAGGCAGAGAAACTTTCTCTCTCTTTCTCTCTCGTATCTCCCGCGCGACTCTCGACGAGCGCTGCTTCTTCCAGTTTCTAACGATTAACCCTTTATATCCTGAAGGTACTTGAAAGTGCCGCTAAGTGTTCATATGTTTCTGAACTTTTTTCCTGCGTTTCCTTACTCGACATTTCCGTCGGTACCTGTAAATGCCAGCTTACAATTTAATCATAAGGCTATTTAATTACACAAAAATTTAATAAGGTAAGTTAATTCGGAATATAAAGGGTTAAACCCCCGCGCGTATCAGCGCGCGGCCGGGGGTGCAATGTGCGCGTCAACGTTGCCTCATCATCTCGACAACTGCAGTCCAAGCAGGTCCACACGCAGGTCAGCTGTTGCACCTGCAAAGATACTCAACTTACGACTTAGGAATTAAGCATGAGTCCTCACGGCTCCTCCTCTGCGAGATCTCTGAAATGGAAGACGAGGGAACGCAAAAGCCGGGCGCGCTCTCCGTCACGCGGAGAGCGCGATTCCTCGAGCTGTCTTCTTTTTCCGTAGCCGTCGCCGAGCACAGATTCGCAGCATGCTCGCGGCTGGAGGCAGGACCGCGGCAGGAGCGCGAGCTGCGCTCTCGATTTCTCGGATAGACGGGAACAAATTGAAAATGAGCTCTGCTGCCGTATTTTCTTTCGCACGTGTTCGCGGAAGAATGTTACGTTACGCGCGTGTGCGTCCGTGGGTCTGCCTGCTGTCGGTCTGCTTGCTGTGTCTATGTGTGTGTGTGTGTGTGTGTGCGTGTGTGTGTGTGTAAAGTACATCGCGAGACGGTACATATCGACGATTCGAGTCTGCATGTGTGCGCCCTGCGTATAACAGCAGGTGCATTCAGTTACGGAGCTCGGTCAGCAGTCCTGATTCCGCCGCATGCAAGAATTCTGTGGTCGTTGCAGTTTCAACGTGAACATCTTCATCCCCTCGTCAGTCCCCTCCCCCTGACCCCGACAGCCACCCGCCACGCCGTATCCCGATGCTGCTCCGGCTCGTGGAAGTCGTCCTCGTTGTCGAGGCGTCCTCCTCTCGTCGTGGGGCGAGCTCCGAATAAAAACTCGTAATTTATAGCGGGCTGCCGGAGGGGGGGGGGGAGGGGAAGAGGGTTAGGGGACACGTCCTAGAGGTCGATAAAATTTCAGAGGGCATCGGCTCGTCTTCGGCGCCGACGTTATTAAAGACGTCCTCGAAGGCTCTCGGTGAAGTCAATGAGAAGTGCAAACTGGTATTTAGACAACTTTATGGCGTCGCGTCACTCAGGCTGAAACTCCAGCTGATGCGACACCGTGCCGATATATCTGTGCTGCTTCGTCGTTTCAGAATCCGCGATATTTCGAGCCGCGCTTTGGCCTTTGACCTGCCCCCGGCCCGTTCGCGCACTCCATTCGATCCTGATTTGATATGCGCGCGTGTAAAAAGCGCGCGCGGCCGACCGCGCGCGCGCGCGCTTTTAGCGTGTGTTAATGGCGGTTCCCGGGTATGCTATCGGGAAAGTGGCGAGAGTGCGGCACACACGCGCGGAATATCGCGGACGCTCTCTGTGGGGCAAAGGAAAAAAAAAAAAGAAAAAGAGAAGATCGACGGATCCCCGATCGAGGCGCGAGGATTAAACAAAACCGCCGCGGCGTTTTTACCCGCTTGTTTTTATGCGGCGGCTTCACTGGGAAGCCGATTCGCGTAGAGCGACTCAAAAATCGCCGAGAACACACCCCCGGAGAAATGTACGCCCGCTCCGTGCGCACGTACGTAGAAACACGTGCACCCGAAATTATTCACATCGTGCGAGATTTCTGGACCGTCGCGAAGCCGTGTGAACTATAAATCCAGTCGTCCCTCCTCCGTCGCGATAGCAAGGCCGGGCGTGATTTAGACCGGTTCTCCGGAAGCAAATAGACAGAAAAAGGAAGTATAAAAGAGTGAAGGGGGGGTGATGGAGAGACAAGGAGCGCCGAAGGTGGCAAACCCAGAGCGGAAGATGGCGAGAACGTAAGTTCCGCCGTCGACGGAATTGTTATTTTGTGTCGTCGTAAAACGTCGTAAAACGAATCTCAAAAATCCTCGTTGCGTAGATTTTCTCTCTCTCTCTCTCTCTCTCTCTCTCTCTCTCTCTCTCTCTCTCTCTCTCTCTCTCTCTCTCTCTCTCTCTCGTCCTTTCCCTTGTTTTTTTTCGTTGTCGCGGAAACACGCCGAGTTGCCGATAACGTTAGCGCGAGTGACGAGGAGACGCGCGAGCGCGCGGTCGGAATTCCGATTCCGCCGGAAAATCGGAATTCTGATTCCCTCAAGAGCTCCCGGACAAGTGTTATCCGCCTGTCGGTGTTGCGCACACACCCATACACCGCGCCGCGTGTATTCGCGAATTCCTTGGCTCTACGCAAAAGAACGCCGGTATTTGATGGCGGATAAATAATTTGCGATATAACTCGCCGCGCATATTTTGGATATATTAAAAATTCCGAAGGTCGAGTGTCGAGAAACTACTGAAAATTGAAATACAGTCCAAGGTGAGAGATCGCGCACGGGCTCGCGACAAGCGAATCGATCGCACGTGCGACCCTTGCAAGACTTTCGTCGCGGGATCGCGCTGCGCAAAAATTACACGAGCGAATATAAATCCGCGACGACGCGCATGCAACGCGGCGCCTACCTTTTCCCACCCTCCGGACGACGCGTGCCAATTTTCTCGGGTAGAGCGTAGCGCGCGGAGTGACAAAGGGACAGGAGGGAGCGGGGGGGGGGAGAGGAGGGAAGAAACGTGGAAAGAGAATACAAGAGACGGAGTAACGAGTACGTCCGCGTTGCCGAATAATTCAAATCGGCAAAAACATGACGGCGGCGCCGTCGACGCACGCGCCGGCAAACTTGAACAGCGAAATTGTTATTTCGCGCGGTACCGCGCGAATCGTCGCATTCCAAAGTGCGCGCGCGCGCGCACACGGCCGCGTGAATACTTCTTCGCGAAAATGTGCGCCCATCCTTTATACGTTCCTCCTTTCTCCATCGCTTTTTCCGCGATGCTTCCTTTTAGTTTCCCTATTTCGTCCGTTCGCGTGGATGCTACTGTGTCAGTGTGGACTGATAGAAGGAGGGAGAGCGGAGAGAGAGAGAGAGAGAGAGGGAGAGAGAGAGAGAGAGACTACGGCAAAACGCATTCCTTGCGCTATCCCGGGGAAATGTGAGCGGATCGCAACAAACGACAAGGGTGTAGGCGAGGCGGACGAGTCGCTTGGTCGATGGTATCCGAGTTCTCAGACGACTCCGAATTCCGTTGCTTTTTATTATCATACTCGATCGGAATATTGCCCTCATACGGTGGAGCATGCGTGTACGCGTGTCGTCGGCAAGACGGGAAATTGCGATTCTGCCGGAGACACGCCGGGGCGAGCCCCGGCTTTTTGTCTCGTGAACGACGCGATTTGCTGCTCACACCGGCCGCTACTTGCGACTCGCGAGTGTCTCACGCCTTCCCTCGGCGAACGTCGCGCAATGAGGCGTCTCCTTCGAATTTAACGCCACAAGCGAGAGAAAAAGAGGAAAGATGCACTGCGAGACCGGCCCGTCTCCAAGCGCGATTATTGCGTAATTCGCGGCGAGACTCTCGGGCGCTTCGCGTTTTTCTACAGGAGGTGGAAAAATCGAGGAAAACCGAGCAGCTCAAAGTGCAGCATTCGAGTCTCCCGCGGAGACATGCTATTCTCAGACGTACTCGAAGGACATGGTTGCGCGAGCAGGTGTCCCTGTGAAAAGTTGAAACTCGAGGTATCGTTCTCAGCGCCAACGTGACTCCGCGTAGAATCACCTCGCGAATTACGTCGTCCTTAAAGCCCTTCGCCAGAGAAGAGACCCGTCAAACTCTCGACGGAGAGAGAGAGAGAGAGAGAGAGAGAGAGAGAGAGAGAGAGAGATAGAAAGAGACACGAGCGATATTTCGCTGCTGGCGGCCGATATTATGTGATGCTGAAATATTTCCGCGATAACGCCGCGCAGTAACGAGTCTCGCGACCGCGCTCGAACTTGCTCGGAATTTCCGGTATAGCGAACTTTAGTGCGCTCGGTTATCTTGTACGGCACGAGTGTGTGTGTGCGGGCGCGCGCGCGCTCGAAGATAACGAGGACGAAGATGATCCTGATACGAGAAATCCAAGTGAAGTGTGAAGATAACGAGACCCCGTGCACGGACGCGAGCGCGAAAAAGAGGCAGCGCCGGGGTTGGGGTGAGACGGTGCGGCGCGGCGCGCCGCGTGCGAGACAGAGATAAATGAAGGGACAGAGGGACGAGACACGAAATATTTGAGTCGCGTGACACTGTGACGCGTGTAATGCAAGCCGAGGTTTAACCTCCTCCGCTGAAGAACGCGTCGAGGTTCTTCGGTACGTGTGTCACCGGCCGCGGGGAGATCGGCGCGAAGATAATACAATGCATTATTCAATAACGCGATTCATTTACAACGGTGGACCGCGTATCGCGCGGATCGAAATTTCGTGCGCCCGCGTGTGTGTGTGTGTGAGTGAGAGAGAGAGAGAGAGAGAGAGAGAGAGAGAGAGGAAGAGAGAGAGAGAGGAAGACACAATGTTAAAACGACAGACACCTTCCAGCAACACGCGCGCGATATCCACCGCGACGCCTGATTGCGCGCGGTCGCGGAATCTAATTAGCGCGGCTCACAATTTCGGCCGAGTGCGTCGCTCGATCGCGAAGCGCGCGCGATGCATCATCGCGCCGGAACACGTACACGCTCTTGTGTCTCGCGTGCACCCTCTTCCTTTCTCACCGCCTCTCTTTCTTGTCCTCTCGCCACTCTCGTCGACGTCCCCGACGCGTCACACGGCGAAATTTACATCCGCCCCTCGAAAGGGAGGGAGAGAGATAAAAGGCGAAAGAGGACGAGAGAGGGAGAGAGGGAGAGAGAGAGAGAGAGAGAGAGAGAGAGGAGGAGAGAGAGAGAGAGAGAGGAGAGAGAGAGGAGAGAGAGGAGAGAGAGAGAGAGAGAGAGAGAGAGAGAGAGAGAGAGAGAGAGAGAGAGAGAGAGAGAGAGAGAGAGAGAGAGAGAGAGAGAGAGAGAGAGAGAGAGAGAGAGAGAGAGAGAGAGAGAGAGAGAGAGAGAGAGAGAGAGAGAGAGAGAGAGAGAGAGAGAGAGAGAGAGAGAGAAGAGAGAGAGAGAGAGAGAGAGAGAGAGAGAGAGAGGAGAGAGAGAGGAGAGAGAGAGAGAGAGAGGAGAGAGGAGAGAGAGAGAGAGAGAGAGAGAGAGAGAGAGAGAGAGAGAGAGAGAGAGAGAGAGCAGCGACGAGGAAAAAAAGGGTGCGGAGTGTTTTACTTTCTTCGCAGGCGTGTTAAACGCGACCGCCGCTGCAGTGGCGGCGACGGCAGCGGTGGAGGCGGCGGGCGGTCGCACGGGGTTAATGCACTGTTGTTGGCTCATGATAAAATTAAAGGAACAAAAGGAAATTGGGCGCGAGGAGGACGCGGGAGAGAGAGAGAGAGAGGTAGCGGAATGATGAAGTATGAAATATTCGTGTCGCCTGACGCTGCAATTTATCCGTCGGTGTTGCAGCGTCGTTAATACCGCCGGTGCCTACGTACCGTGACTTTGTCACGGAGCGGTATGCCGCGTGTAAAGAGAAAGATAGACAGAGGGAGACAGAGCGAGTGTATACACGTAACGAGCCGCGTAGAAGCACGGCGAACGGGTGAGTGGAGAGTTGCCGGGAGAGTGGAAAAGTGGGAGGACGCGGGGAGGGAAGGAGCAGAGTATGCAAACCGGAAAAGGCGGATTTATTTCCCGACAATGTTCGCAATCATTTTGCGATTACGAATGCAGCGGAACCGCGGACGGGCGGGCGAATGGGCGACGTCGGCGGCGGCGATGGTGTTGGTGGCTAACGCGTTGAAAATAAATTGCAAAATAACTGACAGGCTGCTACGAGTCGCGCGTGCGCGCGTACATATGTATATGTATATATTTATATATATATATATATATATAGATATCGGAATGAATTGATTAATAAAACATGTCAACAATATCGGCGGCGGCGGCGGCGGCGGCGACGGCAGCGCCGATAAAAGATTGATTAAACGCGCGGCCGCGTGCGGCGCCGCGAACCGGCGCGTTTGGGAAAAGCCGCGGATAAATCACGCGCGAATAAAGGCCAACATTGCGAACAAATTTCCGTGACTGCGGAGCGGAAGCGGGATCGATTATGCGCTACGGCGATCTGATCGCGGTCGAACTCAACGAAGTGGAACGCCTTGACGAAATTTCACGGGCGGTCTCGCTCTCTCTCTCTCTCTCTCTCTCTCTCTCCTTTTCCTCGCTTTCTCTCCCCCGTTCCGTCGCGAGTCGCGACGCTTCTGCATCCGTCAGGACGCAACAACCGGAGACTGTCGGCCAGCGATAGAACGGCCGGCGGGTGAAAGGCGACTAGATCGTCATCGATGATCGCGACAAGATTCGGCCATCGTTCCGCAATTACGGTCGCGCCGAGATGGAACAACGTAGAAACGGACGGCCGGTTGGACGAAGGTGCGGGAGGAACAACACGACGGAAATAAATCTCCGCGTGATTGATCGTCCGCCATGAATCGCGCGCCGAGCGATATTAATGCACTATCAGTCGTGACGGGCTCGCGGATGGCTCGCGTGTACCGCGCGTGTAGCTTTGACGATTCTGTCGCTCGTCGACATCGTACGCTCGTCGCCTGCGCCCGATATTTATGCGCTCGTTTTTCGCAGCGCGGGTCGAGGGTTATGCGGAACGAAAAAAAAAAAGAGGGAGGAAAATCCCGGCGGATCGGCGGCCTCCGCCTGAAATTTCGCGTGCGCGCCGATATATAACCGTGCATTTGTTATTGTACACTGTAGTGTACCGTTCTCTCTCTCTCTCTCTCTCTCTCTCTCTCTCTCTCTCTCTTTTTCTCTCTTCCCCTATCTTTTTTTTATCTCCTTCATTCATTCAGAGCGTCCCGCTCTACTCTTCCCTGGTGGGGTCCGAAATATGGGCTTCGACAGCCGGCATCGTCGTAAAATTCTTCCGCTCCGCAAGGACGCGCGAAGCGGAGGAGCCAAGGGTTTGGTCAATCGGTTAATAACGTCGCTGCGAGGTATGCATACGTGAGTGGCCTTATCTCCATTTAGTAGTGCGTTTAAGGGAGATTGGAATACAGTCGGACACGTGTCGCATCGATATCTTCTACCACGTTCGATACGGAGCAAAAAAGTAAAAAGCGGACGACCTCGCTGGGGATTGCACGTCGATGAAAATTTTATCTCGAGTCGCGAGGCGTACGGCTCGAAATTACACATTTTTAGCGCGAGAGTTACGGTTTCTCCCGTCACGCTTTTCTCCCTGTCTGTTTTAAAATTCTATCGAAATTTTCCAGGCCGATTAATAATAAATATGTAATAAGGAGATTGCGAAGAAACAAAAGTTTGGTGTCTCACTTACCCACTTGTCCCCATTTATATTTATTAGATTATTTAATATCTTGCTCACCGTTATACTCCATTTGCATTTTTGCAGGGGTGGACTATATTGAAACGATAAAACTATTAAATATTAAAAATAAACATATTAAAAAAAAAAATAAATAAAAAGTATTAAAATAAAAATATTGAAAATATCAAATATTCGTTGAAAAAGCCGTCTTTCTAAACCTCGACAAAAAGACAGCGAGAGCCCATTTGTAGCTTCAAGTTGGACGGAATTTTTAGAAGTAATGTAGAATCAAAACTTCGACTCTGAGAACGAGGTGAACTCGAGGAAAGATCATCGGACTGCCGGCGGGCAGGTTCCTCTGTGAGAGGATTTGCCTTTTAATTAACTTACACCGGCAAAATTGGACGGGTATTGTCGGTTACGTGGCGCCTAAGAATTCATGGCGCCAATCACATCGATTTTCGATCGGATGTCGAGCAAGCCTCCACCTCGCGGTCCGATCACGATTGCCCCGACCGCGGCCCGCATTGTTTCGCAATCAAAGCGACATTGTTTCCACTGTCGCGACGGCTCGTCGACATTGATCACTGCTACTGCTTTCCTCCGACTCGGGGATTCGAATTCGAGGGAATACATGTGTGCGTGTGTCTGTGTGCATACACATACGCACACACACACACACACACACACACATGTAATATATACATATACATACACATGTAATTACCTGATAAAAGCCGAGCTCTTTTAACGCGATAGGTAACTCCGAAATTTAATTCGCCGTAACTACTTTGCGTTTAACCACCTCGCTGCGGCGAGAGCTGATTAATACGTTCCGTGCCGGACGAATTGTACGTGACTCGTCGTCCGCGTCGCGTGAGTCAGCGGTGACCCGCGCCTTCTTACTTACGAGCCACGTTTTGATTGTGTGCGTCGAATAACATGTATCTCGTAATAATCACAAGGGAATTTCACGATTATGTTTCGTTGTTTTAGAAGCGACATATATCAAGCGCCCTGAATTCGAAAAATCCCGAGTGCGGGTAACTGATGACCGACACATCGGACACGGAACTCGTTAATGGAAAAATAACGCGTTTTCCTCGTTGCCCGGTATCCGAAAGGTACGCGCGCGATAAATAAATATCGTCGCGAGAAAGATAGATCGAGCCTTCGAGTGACGTAGGAAAAAAGGAATGAGAAAGGAGGGAGGAAGAAAGAAGAGGCGTGAAATGATTTGACGCTTTTTCGACTTCCCCCTGCTCCCCGATCGAACCGACTACATTGTCTTTCGCCAAGAGCCTTCGAACGCCGTAATCCGACACCTTGATGGATCAAAGCCGCGGCAAGGTCGTTAAAGGAACCGCTCGTTCTCTCGTCGTTTCCGCTCTGCCCTCCCACGATTCCGGACCACGACGGTATTTCTCCCGGCCGTGGCGTCAGCGCTCCGGCTGAAAAAAGCGTTCGAGGGGTAGAAGAGTGGAGTAGTCTTACCTCTCCGGAGGCGACCGCCTCGCCCGGAATGAAGAGTTCCGGGTAAACGTTGTCCAGGTACCACTTGAACGACTTGCAGCCCAGTTTCTTCCTAAGAGTCTTTCGTTCCGATACGTCGCCGTAGTTTCCCTGCAAAAGTTCCGTCCTGCTGTCAGTATCGCGGAGTCATAATGCCGCGGAGATAAAGGAAGAGAAAAAAACGTGAGGGGAACGCCTTCTTGAGCGAAACGCCGCGGGCCGATATATTGTTGGGGAAAAGAGGAGGACAATTCATACGTCGTCGTGACAATCGTGCGTCTCAGAAGCCGAACTGTGCGATCAACTGCAAATTTCCGAATTTTATTACTTATCAGAACGCAGGATTTCCAAAATCAAGAAATTTACGAAGAAGAAGCAAAGGCGATTATAGTCCAGCTAAGATTTGAGAGAGTCTCGATTGCCGATCGATATTAAGACGAAGGAACCGTAAGAGTATAAAGTTTCATCATTATTCAGGAAACAAGGTGCGCTCGTCAGGGAGATGTTTAATATTAAATTAGCATTCGCAGGAAACGAGCTGATCGATACGAGGAATCGGGTATCCACGACAAGCGCGCCGTCGAGGCACCGTCGCGGGCCGGCCAGTCGTGACTATTACTACTGCGAATTTTGCGTACTCACGCGTGCGAGAGAAGAGGCGGACGCGGCGCATGTGTGTTGTGTGTGTGTGTGTGTGTGTGTGTGTGTGTGTGGGTGTGTGACGGAAGACGGCGATTTATCTTATTATTTTATGAAGCTATTCACGGGGACGACGTTTTCAAGAGATTTCATCATTACACAGCGGCGTGCTTACGGAAGCGATTTATTCTCTACGCTTCGATTTATCTCGTCGATTGGATCTCGGCGGGCGGGTGTCCGGGGGCGGACAAGCATCAGGGATAAATGACGGATCGTTATAGAGGGAGTCGCGCGCCAAAGAAAACGTCCCCTCTTCTCTCTCGGCAGGGGGAGAGCGAGGACATGCGCCTGTACGATCCTTAAGAGCACTTGGCACGTTTATGGCCCTTTTTTACGACGAGTCCCGGTCTACGATCCTCTCCATCATCGGCCACCTTCGCCGTTACCCTTCGTCTCATTCTTATCGAGCCGCCCCTCTTCCCCCCCCCCGCCCCCCCAATACCCAATGTTTACGAGTGACTCGGATCGAAGGGACATAATGGAAGCTTCGACGAGGCGATATAATTCGACAGGCAAGAACTTTATCCCGCCGGATAAGTATCAATTATTATCGCTAATTGTCCGTTCCTCTGCACCACCGGATATTTCCATCTTCGGGTTTGCCCCCCTCCCTCCCTCCCTCCGGCTCCACGAAGGTTTTCCATCCACCACGCGGTCATATTCGTGCCGAAATTCGTTCGCTCTCACGCGAGCGTGCACGCTGCCGCGCGCAATCGTCGCCGGGAAACATGTTATTTTTGTATTGCGATCGCGATCGCGGCGGATATAAATTCGCGAATTCTGCGAGATTCGTCTCACGCGCGAAATTCATCTCCGCCGCGACCGCGCGCGGTGTGTCTCGTATTGATTTTTCGCTGTGATAACGCGCAGTTTTAATTGCCCCCTTCGCGCTCTTTCCTCTCTATGTCTCTTTTTTTCTCTCTCTCTCTCTCTCTCTCTCTCTCTCTCTCTCGTGCGCGCGCGCGTACTAGGCCGCGACGTGTGTACAACACGAGGGTTGTTCGCGCTGGCAGAAGGGAAGGTTATGCACGCGACACGACGCACAAGTGCTCACCTTGTCGTGACCTATCCTCTGATAGTAGTACTTGGCGTACTCGTCCAGCCACACTTCGCTCAGCCTTATGCTGTTCCTCTTGAGCACGTTCACGCCGCTGCGCCACTTGTAAGGCGAACGTTTCCTGAAGATGTGGCCCACGTGCGAGCACGGCACGATCTCCAGGGTGCCTGGCGAGGGCCCGAGGGCGAGTTATTAGATTAACATTTTCAGTCGCGCTGCTGTCGCCGCCGCCGTGGCGTTACGTTACGTCACGCCGCCAATATCGCGCGAACGCAAAGTACGAGCGTCGTGCCGACGAGAGAAAAATATCCACCGCTCGCCCGGCAAAATGAGAGAGAATCGACGCGGGCGGAGATGCGCGGGCAGATAATCGTGGAAATATAACACGCGATAAAATAATCCTGTTTCCCTCGCCGAAGGGAGGATAAGAGATGGGCGGGAATCTTTCCGGCCGACGTTGCGTCGGGTTACTCGCGAATCTCCCGGCTTCTCTAATCGCGACCGAAAAACCAATTTTTTTTCTTCTTTCCTCTGTGACATTATTAATATTAATATTAATAGTATTATTATTATTATTATTATTATTATCATCATCATCAGTCGCACGTACCTCCGCACATCCAGGTCTTGAACGACAACTCGAGATTCTCGCCGCCCCAAATGTCGAAGCCGCTGTCGTACGTGCCGATCCGCTCGAAGAACACTCGGTCTATCGAAAAGAGGCCGCCTGCCATCGTCGGCGACCAAACAGGCTCGGCCGGGTTCTTGTGGCGTTTCTTCTCCCTCTCCGGCACGGCGTGCCAATTGAACTTGTCGACAAAACGTTTAACACACGATCAGGAATCTACTCACGTGCGAGCGAGCGAGCCCAACAGAGCTCACAGCCGATTCTTTACGGGGAGGACACTAAAACTCGCGACGTGAATTTCTTTACTCGTGGGCGCTATTCGGGATCTCCACCTCGAGATCGATTCGTCCTGTATCCGTGCGCACACATGAGGATCTGTCGCCCGCTGCGGAAAAATTAATCGCGATGTTGGCGCGCGCGCGCGCGCGCGCGCTGTCACGCTGCAAACTCACGATTGCATTCCGATTGTGAGAACGGACGCGTTCTCTTTCGACCGATCCTCCTGCCCTCCCCCAAGCACGCGGGTGCGAAGATTTCGTTTACCTGGAGATTCCAATCGAATCCGCCGACATTTACGCCGCCCGAGTCCCGCCAGTGGTATTCCAGGGTTGTGTCGTCTATAACATCGATCACCGGACAAACTACCGTCGTAGGATCGCGAGCGATCCGGTCGAGGAGAGGCTCCAGCCAACCCTCCGTGCACTCGCAATGGCTGTCCAAGTACGTGAGCACCGGAGCCTTGGCAGCCGCTGCGCCCAACAGCCGCGCCCTGATAAGGCCCTCCCGCTTATTCGCCCTGATAATTCTCACCTTCGGATAATTCATCATGTAGTCTTCCAACTGACGCTTCAGATGAGCTGCGGAACACGATCGATCTCCTGTTATTGGCCGCTCCGCGCCAACACGGAGCTGTATTATGTCGCGGAGTAGCAGCACGTAGCGAGACTGATGTCGTCAGACTACGAATGCGCGCGTCTCTCAGTGTAATTCGGCTTGAACATGTTGAAAATATAAGTCGCGAGCGACTCGAGCACGCCGCGCGCCTTCGTCTCGCCCTTCACTCGCCGGGGCCTCTCAATCTCGGCGGTATATCTCTCTCTCTCTCTCTCTCTCTCTCTCTCTCTCTCTCTCTCTCTCTCTCTCTCTCTCTCTCTCTCTCTCTCTCTCTCTCTCTCTCTCTCTCTCTCTCTCTCCTTCTACTCTCTTCCTCTTTTTCACCGGCCGGCCGAATTTAACGCTCGAAGCATCCCTTTTTTTACGCTCGCCTGTTTCCTTTCCGGCGCGGAAACGCGCGACAGTTTTTAAATGAAAAACAGGTAAATCAAGCGAAAAAGGAGGAAAGGTATCGGTTTCCGATAGCGGGCGGTCGCCCGTAAGTTGTAACGTAACACGCTAATTTCGCGCGATACCCGTTGGCCGTGCATTATTGACGGGTCCTTAAGCAGCGGGCTTTATTTATTCGAGCATCGATTGCGCGGGAACTCCCTCTCGCGGGCCGGCGCGAGCGCGCTTTCTCGATATATCGAATCGCCGTCGATTCGGAAATACAAGCCGGCTGGATGTACGACGTTGCGCCGCGCAAGAGAGCAAGGGTGTCGCAGCAATAAACGGGCGGACGGCCGGTTTCTGCGCGTTTCTCCAACGTCGATTACGTCCTTAACGTTGGATTACGGTTTATTTACGATGTCATTCGCAAGCTGTCGCGGCCAACAACAATCACCCCTCCCAGATTCATTCGCCAACCGCAATCAATTTAATTGTACGCCACGTAGGAACAGGCATATTACCCGCGTAACAACCTTATCGCCCGTATTTATCCGGGTTATCAACATTTTATCGCGGACGACCTGGGCCAGGAGGGAAGCGAATTCCTTGGGCAAGAAAACTCGGGGCCAACCGACCGGGGTCACTTGCGCCTGTACTTTCAATAAAGATTATGTGTACGACAAAGCGCGCGCCGAAGACTGGCTCCCTTTTAATCCGTCGTTAAAGTTTCTCGAGTAACGATCGAATGTAAAAAGAACGAAAGCTCGCGTGCGAAAAACACGCTCTTCTCTCTTCTCTGCCCCTCCTCTTCCTCCCTCTCTCTCTCTCTCTCTCTCTCTCTCTCTCTCTCTTTCCTCTCGAGGAAGTTTACTTATCAGGAAAAATAAAGCGACGGCGAGCGGGGCAGGGAGGAAAGGCGTATACTTCTAGCATCTTGTAAAACGAACGTTACCGTCGCCGCTACCGGACGATTAAAAAGTAACTCGACGCGAAAACTTCAGAGAAAGAAAGACAGAGAGAGAGAGAGAGAGAGATGGAGAAAGAGAGAGAGAGAGAGGGACCTTTCCATATCGGTTTTCAATCTTCTTTTTATCGCGAATCTCACAGAGGGAGGCAACGATTTCGTATCGGCACCGCGCTCTTCCGTTAGCACCAGAGAAGAGAAATAAAAAAAGAAACACACACACACACACACACATACACAGAGAGAGAGAGAGGGGGGAGAGAGTGGCCTCTTTAATGCCGTTTCAAACGCACGTTATAGCATCGTCCGCGGTAACGCAATGTGTTATTTCTGGCAATCGTACGCGAGATTTAGATTTACGGCCGCGTACCCCTCCCGCAGTCACGGCTCGCCGCCGAACGACCGGCAATTAGCAGACATTCGTGATTTATTCTCCGTTAGGGGGATGGCTTTATGAGGGACCGAGCCACTAATTCTAAGCCTCCACCCTGTTGTAAGCTCAGTTAACTATGGATAGTATAAGGGGATTCTCTCACGGCACGGATCCCCGCGCACTTCGTGCAGGCGCAATGATTACCCGGGACGGGATGAGACGCTCTACTTGGAAACGATGGAGACGTCGGCTCGATTTTATGCACCCACTCCCTTCGGATTGGCCACGTCAGTCTCTGATGATGAGCTTCGACACGGAGTCGTTATCGTACGGACGCGACCTCTCCCGTCGCTCTTCCGCCCCCTTCCCCCCTCCCCCCCGTTCGTTCTTTATCTCCGACTTGGAATTCTGCATCGATTCGCGAGAAGAATTTTTCTCCCGCACAGGAGGAGAAGGAGGAGGAGGAGGAGCGGGCGGAAGCAAGAAAAATACGCGCAGAATCGGCACGCGCTCGAGTATAGTCGCGAATTGAGAAAATATCTCTCTGGCTCTTCTGTCTCCCTCCCCTTTCTCTCTCTCTCTCTCTCTCTCTTCTTCTCATTCTTTCTTTCTTTCTGTTTCTCATCACTTCGAAGCGCAGGAGAAGCACGCCGGACGAGGCGGCGCGTCGCGTCGTTAACTGTACTCGAACGAGGGAGAGATGGACCGTAAGAGGTCAGAGGTCAGACATTTAATGCGCACGCAAACGGCATATATGCGCGGATTCCGGGCGCATACCGGCCTGAATTAATTTCTAATGAATTCCACCGGCACACACAAACACGCGCACACGCGCCTAGCGGGCACGAACGTGCGGATGCGCACTCGCGCAACGCGGAGAAATATGCATAAACTAGCCGCGGCCATTATTGCAAATTTCATTACGACTTTGCCAAGTGCGCTACGAGGCGCAGATAATGGAAACGCTCAAAGAGCCGAGCCGCCGTCTGTCGCCGCCGTCGAGCGCCGGCTCATAATTAACTCCGTAATCCCCCCGTCTCCAATCCCCCGAATAAAAGCTAATTATCGTGCGTGCGTTTCGCCGCGGAGACGAGCCCGGGGCTAAAGCCCGCCCTGTAAAATTCATTACAACTTTCTTGCGCGGGCTTGATTAATTATTGAATTCATGTTAATCCCTCCGTCGCCCTCAGTCGCCGCGCGCGCGATTCGCCGCGACACGACGGTGGCGACGACGGGGCTGCCGCGAAATATATAGTTTTTCGGAGGCCCGGCAAGATGATAAAGTACGCGCGACGTTCCGGCCGCGTCCTCGTCGCGCATTAGACAAGAATATTCGATAATAGAGCCTTGCTAACGAGGAGGGACGATTATCCATATTGAATCTCCGTTTATAACGTTCGCGTCTTCGAGCTATTCCAACGACATGACGGTCGAAAGGAAGAAGACGCGCATGCGCACACACACATCCACACACCCGGCCACACAGTCACACGCGCAGCGTTATGATCCCGTTTCCGCGATAATGCGATCAGCAGCTCGTTAAGAGGGGCGCGGCGGGCTGGCCAGGAGATCGCTAAAGCGACCGGCTGTACATATATATATATATATATATATATATATATATATATACTTACGGGGCTTGACTTCCGGCCAGGAAGAAGGTTTATCTTGAGTTTTTAATAGAGATCGCTCAAGCAGCAGCCATCCCGGCTATACCGTTTCTGTCACGTCGCGGTTTCCCGAATCCGGATTAATCCCACATTCTCTCTCCCTGCGTCGCCGTCCTCACCTACCTCGTGGGATTTTTACGTTCGATCGTTCGCCGTTATTATGCGGGATTTCGCGCGATTACGATTGCTCTGTCCGGCGCGGCGTCGTCGGGCCGCAGTAGCCGGATCGAACGCGGTGTCCGAAAGCTCGCCGACTCACGGCTCTGCGACGCGAGAGCTTTCGTTACATTCGCCCAAATTGACGCGTTGCGTGCGTACATATTTTCTTTTTTTCTCGTTCCTCGCGCGCAACAGCCGCGCGAATAATCAGCCGAGCCAGTACGGTCCCGCCGCGACTGTATAGATATTTTTTGTTCGCGTAACAGTTATTGCACTTTTTTGCCAGATCTGTAATTTAGATTTTGATTCAGCGGCCGTTGTATGCACGTCGATTTAAACGAAAACACGTATCGGGGATACTAATTGCCTTTCCGCATCTGAACAATGCGCGCGCGCGGCCTCACGCGCGCATTCGTTTCGCTCGCATTCGCCTGAAATTGTGCGTTTTGATATACTTGTATAAAAATGGCCTTAAGCGAGGAAATGTTTTATTCCGATGGATCGACGCAAAAGGCGGAATAAATAATGCCGGTAACGGCGACGTGCGCATTTTTCGGCTGTCCGCGGCAAATCGACCGGCGCGGCGCTTGATAGAGAGGCCGTGAAACGTTTATGAAACGCGCCTGGCTATTTCTATTTTCCGCGACGTTTCCGCATTTTCGAATATAATACACCCGCCCCGTCGTCGCGCTATCGTCGTCGTCGTCGTCGTCGTCGTCGTGGTGCGCCCGCGCTCTCGATTTTGCGCGGACAAGGACAAATGGAGACGTTAAAGCCGGTCCGTCACGGAGATTGTATGGACCTCTCGTAATTTTCTGGGCGCCCGTAGCGCGCACATCGGGGAGTTTCTCTTCTATTCACGTCGCGCGCGCCGCACACAGTGGAGAGATGGATCGCAATTAATCGATCTATCGCGAAACTACGGGAACACTGTCGCGATAACGAATCACCGCGCTGAATGGAGAGAGGGAGACGCGGTTGCACGACCAAGTACGCGAATATAATGGCTCGCGGTTGCTGCCTCGCCCCGTGCTTACGAGCTTCCCTCCCTCCCTCCCTCCCACCCGCCCATCATGCAGCGGCCCTACTTCGACGTTCCGCTCGTGGATTTTTCATCGCGAGAACGATGAGCGCGGCGCGAGGATTTATGAGCCGGCGAATGGACGCGTGGACGATGGAACCACTCCGTTCGGCACTTTGAATCGCGAAGTACGACGATGATAACGCGGGAATAATCCCCCTTCGACGCTCTTTGATCGCGCGCTCGCGCGGACGAGAAAAAACTCGCGCTTCGTTCTCTCCTAATGAGTCAATTACTCGCGCCGACTGTTCTTCACGATTTCTCGCCACGGTATCGAACCTCCGAATCCCTTTTTCCCCGCTCCGTTGCGGCGCTCGAGCTTCGAACCGAGGCGAGAGCTGGAGGAAGAAAAACAAGAAGAAGAAGAAGAAGAAGAATAAGAAGAAGAAGAAGGGGAGAAGAAACAACGGCGTTTGCTCCTCGTCGCTCGGCGACTCTCCGAGTATGTTCTTTTATCTTGACGCGAAGCTAATCACCGATCGAACGCCAACGCCAACGCGAGAGGCGAAGTCAACGGGACGTCCGCTGTTCTCTCGCGGAGGAGGGCTGAGAGCTCGCACTTACGCATGTCGGAGAAGTCGTCGACCAAGATGATCTCCTGTATGAGGTGCTCCGGTGATCTGTCCAGCACCGAGTGCACCGTGCGCAGCAGCACCGACCAAGCCTCGTTGTGGAAGCAAATGATCACCGCGGTGGGCGGCAGGTCCTTCGAGTATCTGCCGGGCTCCTTGCACCTGTGCACAGCAACGCAACGCCGTCGGGGTTAATCATCGGGCCAATTGTGTCAGCGCCGTGTCGAGTCACGCAGCGAAACGTATCGTTGTATTGTTAAAAATTCGCTGCGCCGCTGACCGCAACGAGATGAAAGATGCGCCCCGCGATATCGCTCGACGATAAATTCATCCCCCGTAATAATAACGCGTACACACACAAGTGCGCGGACATACCTCACCATAATGATTTATTCTCGCAATGATAAATTCGTTTATCAGCCGCGAGCGCTCCGTTAATATAAAGTCGGGTTCGCGCGCGCGCGCGCGCGCGCGCGCGATGAAATCGCGTCTTTCGTACGCGGGCCGCAACCCGGCCGGATGATGATTACACGGGACCGATATGTACCGGAAGATACGTCAGGAAAATACGCTAATGCGATTAGGGCGGAGAATGTTTGCAGACTAAACGCCCACGAGGTGCACACTCGCCCGTAGCTCGCCGCAAAATGAATTCCAGGAGCGCGGGATTGCGACTTCCGACCTGGTTAATGCACCAACTCACGCGCGCGCGCGCGCGCAATACACACACACACACACACACGCGCGCGCGCGGAGAGAGAATCACGGGAGAAGCACGGTTTATGAATACGGTAAATAAAAGTGCTCGCATGCACTCTTCTGTCCTCGGATATTCACGAGAGAGAGAGCTCGTGCGGCTTCTATTTATTAACGTATTCTCCTTCGGTCCCTCTGTGATCGCGCATTCATTTATTCGACATTTATAATGCGCGTTATGCCGCGACTCCGTCTCATCCGCGCGACGTGTTTGACTCGCAAACAAGCGGATCAGTTTCGACCGCACACATCGAACGACGTGCCCGCCGTCATTGACTTTTCCCGCGTCGGATACGAGCTGTTTCTTTCGCGGGGAATTCTATTGTAGCGCGTTGTGGTCCTGAGCCATGCATTTGTTTGCAGTTGGCGCGATTTACACACACACGCACACACACACACACACATACACATATCGTGCCGACAACAACAAGCGCTTCACTCGATAACGGCTGTTACTACGATTATTATCTGTCGATTGTGCGCTTTTAAAACGTATCGGCCAACAGCTGCAAGCCGCGACGAGCGTGATTCTTCATCGTCCTACCGCGATGTATACTGCCGTGCCGAAACAACGTCCCGTCTCATCGAGGAGATTCCTTCGTAATCAGTTTTCATTTCGGATTATGCACGTTCGCGTCGCACAACGCAGCAAGATGCAAAGTTCCGCGCGAGAGCTGCGCCGGATATAAAGATAACAGATGCGGGCTTAACGCGAGGAGTGCTCGAGGAAACGGAGTGATGGGGTGAACGTAGTTCTACGGAACAATGATAAGCCAAGAAGGGGAGAAACTACGTCAAAGAGCCATGGAGTCGTCGTCGTGCGATCTCCGAAATGGTCTCTTTCTCTCTATCTGTTCTTCTCGCGATCTGCTTGTGACGAATCGTACTCGCGAAACGTCTCACGTATGTTGAATGAATGTTACAATGAATGAAGTGTGACGTGAACGTCGTCTTGCGAATTTTGAGAACGAGAAGATTGTATTATTTGCTCTCCGTTATGTAACGAGCGATAAATTATCGGATGAGACTATGACATGCGGAGCATAATCAAGAATCCGACATGGGAGACAAATAGAGATAGATAGATAGAGAAAGAGAGAGAGAGAGAGAGAGAGAGAGAGAGAGAGAGAGAGCACGCGAGAGCGGGCCATAAAATAATAAAAGAGACATGTTGAATGAGATCTAACGGTCGTCGTCCCGGCTGTCTGACCATAAATTCATAAAGGTACATAGTATCTAATTAAGACGGATGAACGATGAAGATTTAATATCGCCGGAAGGGATTATAAATGTTTACGACTGGAGATATAACTTCAACGCCGACCCCTGATTAAATATTGAGGCGCTTGTTGTTTCAATTACAAGCTATTTTCAAGTAAGCCGCTAACGATCGAAACAATTCTCTTTCTCTTCCACTTTCGGCGAGATAATAATTATTATCAAATAAAAGTCGCGAGAGCACACGTTCCGTGTAATATTCGCGCAAACAGAAACTTCAGAGAAAGAGAAAGAGAGAGAGAGAGAGAGAGAGAAAGGGAGAGAGAGAGGGAGAGAGAGAGAGAGTTGTCTCTCGTGGTCACTCGCCAGTTTGTTGATTTATTAAATTACCCGGACCGCTGGTGAGTAAACGTTGTTTCAAAATTCCTCGGAAAAATGATGCATCGGAGAAATGGTGTATCTTTATTCGAGCTGTGTATGTTGTGCATCGCGCGTTGCTGCGTCCCGCAGTGTCGTAATAATTTTACAACTGTGCTATCGAAAATTAGTGGCACCTCGAAAGAGAGCGGACAGAGAGAAAAATGCGATTGCGATGTGGGAAGGACGGGAAAATGGCGTGGAGAGCTTGTGTGCCTTCGCGGAAATAATAATTTATCAACGCAAGATGCGCCTCTCTCGTGTTGCCACCAAACGAACATTCCCCGCCGCACCTTAATTGTGCGTCGGATGAGCTTTCGACCGACGAAGGAGAGAAAGATAAAGAGAGGGAGGTAGGGAGAGAGAGAGAGAGAGAGAGAGAGAGAGAGAGAGAAAGAGAGAGAGAGAGAGATCGCGTAAGTGGCACTCCTGACGAACGTCCAGACTGAATCGACGCTATTTGCATTCCTCTCGTTTCGCATTAGTACGCGCGTTCAATTTTCGGAGAGCAAGACCGGCGAATTCTCCAAACCGTGCACTCCGCGCTTTTAATTTCTTCGCGTCGTCTGGCGATAAATCCGGTGATAATAACGCGACGACCGCCGTCGCAAAGAGAATTCCGTCCGCGGATCGTCATTATTACATCGCGCGTAATTCAATTCTTCCGGCAATAATCGGCCTCGCGTGATCCTTTCTCGCTCTCTTGCTCCCCCCCATTCCCGCCTTCTCTCTCTCTCTCTCTCTCTCTCTCTCTCTCTCTCTCTCTCTCTCTCTCTCTCTCTCTCTCTCTCTCGCAACAGTCACTTCTGATCCTCGTTTCGAGTGCCGCGGCGTTTAATCGCGACGTCGATAAAATTTGACTTTAATTAACATAATTCCTTTCCACTCTCTCTCTCTCTCTCTCTCGACAATGTATTATTGCTCTCCACTTTAATGCGATTACCAGTATGTCAAGAGCACTCTCTCGTCGCTCACCCGCCGACGTGACGTGATCTGCGAGCCAAAAAAAGAGACCTCCAACACGCTCGCGTCGAGGGTCGTCCATGTATCCGAATCGCGTTTAGAGAAATCACGCACAGTATTCAAAACGTATTTAAATATCACGTCAACGTTTGCCGCGCTGCGCATCCGGCCGATCGCGAGGAACGAGTTCGCCTACGAATGCGCGTATTTAAACCGCTCGCGCGCACGGAAGCAAAGTAAATCATAGCAATATCGTTACAGTCGTATTAATATCGCGAGAACGCGCGGCCGCGAATATAAATCGCGCGGCGCGGCGCGGCGCGGCGCGGCGCCGTGCGATGGCCGAACAAAGTGGGAAATCGCTTAAGCCGGTAAACGCATCGATCGTTTCCAGTCGATTGACGTTCAACAGCGATATCCTCTTTCCCGCTCGACAAAGAGACTCCATTGTTGAGGGGAGGAGGGGCGGCACTCGGAGGATGGGTACCTCGAAATCAGCCACGGATATCGAATGAGAGAAGAGGCTCCTTCGCGCGTTCAGCACATTCGCGCCGATCAACCCTTATCCCTGCGATCCCGTCGCCCCGCTGCGTCGCCCGCCACTCTCCGCCGCTCATCCCCATTTCCTGTCATCCCGATCCCTTAAACCCCGCGAGGCGTCGCATTCGATCAAACGCATCACATTCCGTGCCGCGTCTCCGGCCGCCCGCGCGCGCACGACGCGTAGAATTCTACCTGCCAGTCTTCTCGTCGCTCCCTATACACCGCCGAAGGCATTTGCCGCCCCCGCGGGGCGGGAGTCGCGACTTGTCTTCGCCGCGGAAATTGAAGAGATAGGCATGCGTAGGACGGCTGAGCGGCTGGCGAAGGCGAGCGCGAAGTGAATGAAAGTCAAATATACCGTCAAGTGGGGGAGCGCATCGGACTTCGTCGCCACCCGCGCCGCCGTCACGCGAAGAATCAAAAGCCCTCGCGATCGAGTTTTGCCCCATGTTGACGACAAACGACGAATCCCCCTATAATTTCCGTTCCGCGGCTACATCGAGCTACGAGCGAAATTCTCGTGCAAAGCGCACGTGGAGCGAAGAAAACGCGCCACCTAAAGACGCAGCTAATTGAACGGAAAAGTCTCGGTAAACTCGAACTGCGCGGTCTAATCGTTCCCCGAGGTATCTCTCCCTCGCGTTTTATCTCGCGTCATCGCCGATTATTATCCTCCGATTCACATCAATCTACATCGGCATCAATTCCGTTGTCGTTACGATAAAAAACACGCGAAATGAGAAAGTCACGCGAGCCAAGAGAGCGGCGTCGCGTGGCCAGCCTGCGCCGCCGAGTCGAACGTTTTGTCGCCAAGTTCGGCGATTATTGTTCTTCGAATGTTCAGCTCAACGATTAAACAAATTACATTGCTGCGTGCGTGGATGCGCGCGGGGGAGAACGCTTTTTGCTTCACGTCTCCATGTCGATCCGTTCACGAGTTACGGCTCTTCAAAGTTCCAAGCGAGCGAGCGAGCGACGCCTAACCTAACGTAACCTACCTCACGCTGCATGTGCGAGCGAGACGCACGACCACGTGCTCCGTAAGGGCGCCGCGCACGCGCGTGTCAATGACCGCGCGGGCACGCGGCCGTGCGGCCGCGTAACATAGTGGGGGCAGGTCCGCATTCCCGAGGTACAATGTCAGCGCGTTACGCGATCGTGGAATTCGGGACCTGCTTGCATGCACGTGCAAGAGGCACTTTGGCCCTAGACGTCACAGCGACGTGAAATAAAAACCATTGTCAAGCTGAGACAACCGCGCTTTC